TATAAATGTAATGATCCAAACCTCCCATCTGCCTGAAGAGGACGTGCGAGCTTCACCAGCCACTTAAAAGGTCAGCTGATCACTAGCTTTGTCTCAACCAGAAAGGCTGGACTTGTAAATAAAACTGGATGGTGTAAACGAGGGAGTGAGTCTACAACAATACTATTTTGGTAAGCTTTCCACTCACGTAAAAGGTGGCACAAGCTTATGACATGACAGTGACAGTGGCAGGCACAGTGACGTGGAAGTGACAGTGGCAGGTACAGTGACATGACAGTGCCAGGCACGGTGACATGGCAGGCACGATTTATTGTAAAGCCACACAGAACTGGTCCATGGACCCTCAACTCCGATGTTTGAAAACGGAGGATATCACAAAGTATAAAACACAAGACCCTTTGCCGTAAATTAGCTTGATATGATAGCCTCCCAAACAACCAACGATAGCCTCCCAAGCAACCAATGATAGCCCACAAACTACCAGCACTTCCTTAAACCGGTTAAAAGACTGAGCTTAGTAAACAACACGAAGACGTCCACCAATTCTACATTCAAGTTTAAAATGGAAGTTCGACATGAAGTTAATTACATTCGCAAATAAATTAAGATTTAAATATATAATATAAAAAACACGATTTGAATGAAGTATTTCTATTTTATTAAACACTCAGACATTTTCACTTGATAGATATCCATTATTCATATTGTTTAATACGTGGATATTGTTAGTTACTATGCAGGACACCGTGGCTCTCTCGCCTCGTTTGCAACAAGGAAAAGAATTGTTCAATGGAAATTACACTTGATAGAGGAGTTGGTCTTCTATATTCCTTCTCACTCTCATCGTTTTCTTTGATTATTAAGCTTCTTACTCCAAAGAAAACGGCCCGGCCTCCTAATCAGTGGCCATATGTTGGTTGACACAGCCTTAAGCTCACTGTTTATGAATAAAAAAAACGCTTAACACGACTGAAACTTATGGTAGAATATTTACCGGACAGTATTTACCGAACAGTGCTTCACTGATGTCCTCTGTTCGAACTGCATCTCTGGAAATGTTTCAACCCCTTGAACTGCAAATATAAATAACTGCAAACTACATCTAATTTAACCAAATTTTGGTCAAACTTTACACCAAATTGTATTATATAATTGTTTTAATTTACATAAAATATTAACCCCGATTTTGAGTACACGGTACATTAAAATTGATGGGGTACGTCTTTGGGGTCGGCCGCTGGATGGACGAGCACACCTGAGGACTGGTTGCTATCCCGCTAATCGGGTCAACGATGCCAGTCAAATACTGTACTTACATCTATCAACCTATTCTTAGCCCGTGATCCTGCAACCCTGTCGTAGTCCCCGAACTGAAGCACTGTTCGATTAAAGTTCGAACTTCAAACATTTATAAATACGAAATGTACACACTACATTACGGTAGTTGCTGGATTAAAGAGCATTGAGCCGACGTTTCGTGCAAGAGCTGCACATATTTTGTGCAGCCCTTGTGAGTATTTGCATTATATGATTCCCCAGCCTACGTTCGTAGTTATAAATCGAAACGTGCTTCATTCACTTCCAGCTAGTGATGGAGATAAGATAGTCCGTCGGCCAAATACTAGTTAAGGTAGCTGCTGCTTCCCTGTTTATGAATAACAATTGACACATGATTCAACTGCTCACGTTTGAGATTTTCTCGAACAATGCTTCACACTTCCAAGGCTCGAAGCTCACGTCTGCAAATGCTTCATTATAAATTACATAAATGCCAAGAGCCCAAAAACACACTAAGGTTAACCTAACCTTGGTTTAACTATAAACAAAACTGATTGCTTACAATCAAGTTAATGTAACAATTATCCACGAGACAAGAATAGACCGTCCTTTCATATGCAACATCTGCATATATATCTCTACATTTCCACCGAGTGAACATGTCTTGAAGGATCTTCCCCAGATTCAGAATCTATCCAATGAAGCGGCTCCATCTTGTTATAATGCTGGTACGAGCATGTCAACACGACGAGCGGTCGTTCACCTCAACGGGTTCCCACACAACCGGATCGTCGCGTCCACAGACTCCTATTGCCAGTCTATCATCAAAACATAGGGCTGGCGGGCTCACCAAGTTTATGTACAAAATATGGACAATCCCAGTCGGTAATAGTTCGTATTCTGGATGTTAATCTCTGTTCAAAGCTACGACTCGAGACGTGCTTCAGTTTCTTCCAGCCCGTCTTGTTCAAGACTCATTATACAGTGGAGAGCAAAACACCTTATCTTTTGAAGACACAAAAACCCAATATATAGCAAAGTTAAAGTAAATTTAGAATCGTGTTGTTATTGCATTGTATAAAATATTCAGAATGGCAGTTGGATACCAAATGTGTGTCTAAGAAAGACTCACTGACGTCGGTGAGTCGGTGTTAGTGATATTATCCCAATGAAGAAGATGAGTTTGGATCCTGTTTACAGTGGGCGACCTTCCCAAACTCGCCTCGCCACACAGCCTCCAGAATCCTTACTAATCGACCCGAGTAGACAATGTCACGCGAATATGCCTGACGAATCAAGTGTCATGAGGACATAGCTAACACAAGCCCAAGTGAAAGTATATATTTGTGAAAGTGCAATTGAGAGACTACTGCAAGTTTTAGCTGCAATTCAAGCGATATTAGTGGAACAAGCCGCCAGCATTACTCCAAGTACGAGCACCAACAGAGGGGGTTGAGTATTCATTGTATAAATGATATGAGTACTCTAGATCAGGGAAATATTACTCATTGAGTAATATTAACAATAGGCAGAGGTTATTGAGGGGTATTTACCCACTGGACGAGAGGCAGGGGGGTCACCGTGACCCACATAGCGACCATTGAGCTCCGGCCACACGTGGCACCGGGTCGCTCAGTGCCTCAGTGTGTGTTCCAGACTGGTGAGTGTAGCACCTCCTCCAGTACACCCTCCCCCCCCCACACACACTACACCCCAAGTACCTTCCCCCTCACCCTCCAGCCACAGCACTCTGCCTTCACCACACACGTCTCCAACAGCAGACAACACCTGTGACAACACCAGTGACAACAGTGTCAACACCAGTGACAACAGTGTTAACACCAGTGACAACATTGTCAACACCAGTGACAACATTGTCAACACCAGTGACAACACCAGTGACAACAGTGTTAACACCAGTGACAACATTGTCAACACCAGTGACAACACCAGTGTTAACACCAGTGACAACATTGTCAACACCAGTGTCAACACCTGTGACAACAGTGTCAACACCAGTGACAACAGTGTCAACACCAGTGACAACATTGTCAACACCAGTGTCAACAGTCATGACCAGTGACAACAGTGTCAACACCAGTGACAACAGTGTCAACACCAGTGACAACAGTGTCAACACCAGTGACAACAGTGTCAACACCAGTGACAACATTGTCAACGCCAGTGACAACAGTGTCAACACCAGTGACAACACCAGTGTCAACACCAGTGACAACAGTGTCAACACCAGTGACAACACCAGTGACAACAGTGTCAACACCAGTGACAACATTGTCAACACCAATGACAACATTGTCAACACCAGTGACAACATTGTCAACACCAGTGACAACAGTGTCAACACCAGTGACAACACCAGTGACAACATTGTCAACACCAGTGACAACAGTGTCAACACCAGTGACAGTGTCAACAACAGTGACAACACCAGTGACAACAGTGTCAACACCAGTGCCAACACCAGTGACAACAGTGCCAACACCAGTGACAACAGTGTCAACACCAGTGACAACAGTGTTAACACCAGTGACAACATTGTCAACACCAGTGACAACACCAGTGTCAACACCAGTGACAACACCAGTGTCAACAACAGTGCCAACACCAGTGACAACATTGTCACCACCAGCGACAACAGTGACAACATCAGTGACAACAGTGCCAACACCAGCGACAACAGTGTCAACACCAGTGACAACATTGTCACCACCAGTGACAACATTGTCACCACCAGTGACAACACCAGTGTCAACACCAGTGACAACACCAGTGTCAACAACAGTGCCAACACCAGTGACAACATTGTCACCACCAGCGACAACAGTGACAACATCAGTGACAACAGTGCCAACACCAGCGACAACAGTGTCAACACCATTGACAACAGTGCCAACACCAGTGACAACATTGTCAACACCAGTGACAACACCAGTGTCAACACCAGTGACAACACCAGTGTCAACAACAGTGCCAACACCAGTGACAACATTGTCACCACCAGCGACAACAGTGACAACATCAGTGACAACAGTGCCAACACCAGCGACAACAGTGTCAACACCAGTGACAACATTGTCAACACCAGTGACAACAGTGTCAACACCAGTGACAACAGTGTCAACACCAGTGACAACACCAGTGACAACATTGTCAACACCAGTGACAACAGTGTCAACACCAGTGACAGTGTCAACAACAGTGACAACACCAGTGACAACAGTGTCAACACCAGTGCCAACACCAGTGACAACAGTGCCAACACCAGTGACAACAGTACCAACACCATTGACAACAGTGCCAACACCAGTGACAACATTGTCAACACCAGTGACAACACCAGTGTCAACACCAGTGACAACACCAGTGTCAACAACAGTGCCAACACCAGTGACAACATTGTCACCACCAGCGACAACAGTGACAACATCAGTGACAACAGTGCCAACACCAGCGACAACAGTGTCAACACCAGTGACAACATTGTCACCACCAGTGACAACATTGTCACCACCAGTGACAACACCAGTGACAACACCAGTGACAATACCAGTGACACCAGTGTCAACACCAGTGCCAACACCAGTGACAACATTGTCACCACCAGTGACAACACCAGCGACAACACCAGTGACAACACCAGTGACAACACCAGTGACACCAGTGTCAACAACAGTGCCAACACCAGTGACAACAGTGCCAACACCAGTGACAACAGTGCCAACACCACCAGCATATCCCCCCTCCCCCACACACAACCCACAAGACGGGGAAGGCAACACTGAACACCATTTACTTATAACAACAGAAGTGGGTGAGCGGCAGGGCGGGAGCCAAGAGACAGACAGACAGACGGCAGCAGATGGACAGACAGGAGGAGCATCATCAACACCTGTTGGCCAGGCACGTGGAAGACATCACCGAGGCGTGGGTGAAGCGTCTCCTCCTCCACAGCTTCACTGCCTCCGGTAATTCTCAGGCTCGTTTACTCGCTTAGAATTGTTTACCTCTTTAAGTTCGTCTACTCCTTTAGAATTGTTTCCCTCTTTAAGTAGTGTTTGTGTTCTCTTAGACCTGTTGGTAATAGGATTGAGCGAACGAGGTCTGTCGGCCGCGTCATATAACAACAAAATGCTAATTTTAAACTTGGAATTAATGTCAAAGGCCAAGAGAGCTACGCTGCATTTTTCCCGCATTTTACCATAAACAAATTTAATATTAACTTGTTCCCAGATCTAAGAAGAGAAGATTACAGAACACCCAAGAGACTGTACATTTACAATACTCATTATTCTTCACAAGAGGAATTATGATAATAATTGTGATCTAAAATTGTTACCTAAACTGTCTCAAGGCGTGCCACAGGGTAGCCCTAGGCGTGCCACAGGGTAGCCCTAGGCGTGCCGCAGGGTAGCCTTAGGCCCGCTTTAGGGCAGCCCACAGTGTGGTGGTTTGACAGGAGGAAAAGAATTTCAGCACAAGCATCCATGACCAAACATTTCCTAACAGCAAAGTTAGGAAATGTGCTCCCAATACACATGATGAGTGAGTACATGTGCACAGATACACATATGGAGGTAGGGAGAGGATCTTTAAACTTAAATCTTTACCAATAGTAATAGAATTTATAAAATTAAATCAAATGAATCTGGAGATAATTTTATTGACGCATTGGATAGCTGTTTCCTAATATAATAACTCAAATATTCACTAAAAGCGGGGTTATATATAATATTTGTAAGGATACTAATAAGCGAAATGGAAAGACCAAGTCTACCATTCACAAATTATTTCAAGATGACATAAAAAACTGCAAAAGAATAGCCATTATTTAAAAAAAAATCGTAAATTTAATTTCTTTATTGAAAGGTCCAGTGTATTTTAACTCACTTTCTTAATGCTCTTTTCTGGAGCATTTGTCCCTAGAGTTTGCATTAATAAAGGTGTTTTTATTGTTTGGCAATTCCTGCTGATATTGTACTTTGGTTTTCCTTTAGTATCTTCAAATTTGCTTGTCCTGTAATTACTTGGGTCTTCCACAGTCGATGAATTTATTAGATCCATAAATTATACTTGCTAGATGCTCAGAAAGCACTTGCTGTAGCCTTAATAACCCTCCAGAGGTTAATAAGCAGTACTCCCAACACCAAGACAAGACCTCTTAAGTCCAGACACAGATCACCAGAACCTCAAGGTCATCAGCGAGGACATAAACCAACGATTCTCTGCCATATACACTGAACAAAGTGGTCCACACCTCCATCTTGACTCCAGTTACGCGAGTGACATTACCGTCACATTCTCATAAAATTCTAAAATGTCAAAGAAACACTATACCACTATGACTACAGGTAACAAATGCCAGTTCCCCGGACCCAGGTGAACAGTACACACCCAGTTCATGACCAAACGTACCACAAATAATCAGTACGGATCAACACTGGTGTAGGTACAAGTTTATAAAACAATTGTGATTACTCATTTCTGACGACTCGGTAATTTACACAGTATTATCAAGAATACACATGGAAATCACACTAATGTGATATTAATGAGAAAATCATTTGATCAATTGTGGTGGATTCGAACCCTCGACCCGGGTGCTCCTAAGTCGTACATCTTACCACTAGACCAGACTAGAGTACCCATGTCAAGGGTTCGAATCCAATTGATTTTCTCACTTTCAAGAATTATAAAGGATCGTCATGAATACAAAATCATGATATCGACCATATGATGAAGGATCGTTAAGAGCAGATCAGACAAGAAGAGAGAATACATGCGATTCTGATATCATTATTTCTCCTATTAGGGCGTGAGGGGAGCATAACCCTAAGGAGGTGGAGCCGACACAAGTGCCTGTCTCCAGACCCCCTGGCCGGCCACTCCAGCTCGAGGGTCACCGTCAAGGTGGAGTACGAGGTGAAGGGCGAGGCGACGACTGACAAGTTGAAGAAGCAGACATTCGTGGTGAAGATGGTGCCCACTGAGGGCCACATGGCGTGAGTCAAACCACCATCAATCTCTCTCTTAAGCGCTTCTCTCCGCCCATCCTGTCCAACCACTAGGGCTGGACGGTAGAGCGACGGTCTCGCTTCATGCAGGTCGGCGTTCAATGCCCGACCGTCCACAAGTGGTTGGGCACCGTTCCATCCCCATATCCTTATCCTGACCTCTTCCATGTGCTATATAGTCGTAATGGTTTGGCGCTTTCTCTTGATAATTCTCTCTCTCTCTCTCTTCGCCCATCCATTTGGGCTGGGCGATAGAACGCCGGCCTCGCTTTTTGCAGAATCGGCGTTCGATCCCCTATGGTCTAATTGGTTGGGCATAGTTCCTTCACTCCGTCCTCATATCCCTATCCATAATGCAGCCTGATTATATAATGATTTATAGGAACAGTTAGTCAAGTTTGACTTGTAAATTAATTTACATACTGTTTTGCAGAGTATGCAAATCAAGTGCATGCTTGTAGTTTTATTCTTTAATAGGAGAGCAACAGGTAATTTGCATATCCTGGGTTGAACATATTGCATACCTAGTACTTTGCACTTTAATCATGAATTTGAATGTGGTGCAACCATGCAATCTTGGCAATATATTTTATAATTTTATTATGTAGCTCAGCTTTCTCTATTGAGAATGTTAGCAACCCTTCCTCCTAATAGAGCGAAGCATTTTGACGTATACTTTACCTAAGGCCAAAAATTATCGTACTAGAAAATTGTAGTGGCTCGCGAAAGTGACATACTCTCCCGTTTTCTGTTTTGGGTCCTCTGGTAGGTTAGGATAAGTGCACTTTAGTACGCCAGTTTCTTGATGTTGGGAAAACTTAGGTGGACGGCCTGGAATAACGGTTATTGTTTCAGCCAACGGATGGTTAGTCAGCTGATGTGGCGTTGTCACGTTTAAATCACCGTAAACACTCCGCTAGGTGAATTTAAATACGTTATTCGAAGTCTAATAGAATTCCTTTCATTATGTTACTGACTAGTATTAGGCATCAATCAGTCTCAGGAGACTATGGAGTGGCGCTCTGGTTGTCGGTCTGGAGTGGCCTCTCCAGAGCACAAAGCCAGGGTATGTTGATATGAGGGAGAAGCTGTTACCCATGCAGCAGGTCCCCCCCCCCCCCTCTCAACGACGCCGAAAGTGACTGACTAGTATATACATTTTGATAAAGCCTAATAAACTTAATAACAGCTATATTGCAGGTTCAACTTACACTCAGTCAGTTCCGTCCACCACACTTAACACTTTTGAGACTTCCAGGGGCCTGTTGACGTCTGAGGGGATGCACCATGTGGAGGTTGGTCAGTACGGGCGGTTCCTGCGGGCGCTGGGGGCGTGGGAGACGGAGAAGCTCGGCGCGGGCGTGGGCGTGGTGGCCGAGATTGTGCCCGCCCACGCCCTCGCTCTCAGCACGCCCCATCACTTCACACTCGTCCTTCCGGAGATCACCAACCTCGGCTACCAGGTGAGTTATTACCAGGTGAGCCACCGCCAGGTGAGTTATTACCAGGTGAGCCACCGCCAGGTGAGTTATTACCAGGTGAGCCACCGCCAGGTGAGTTATTACTTGGTGAGCCACCGCCAGGTGAGCCACGGCCAGGTGACCCACGACCAGGTGAGCCACGACCAGGTGAGCCACGGCCAGGTGAGCCACGGCCAGGTGAGCCACAACCAGGTGAGCCACAGCCAGGTGAGCCACAACCAGGTGAGCCACGGCCAGGTGAGCCACAGCCTGGTGAGCCACAGCCAGGTGAGCCACAGCCAAGTGAGCCACAGCCTGGTGAGCCACAGCCAGGTGAGCCAACAGCCAGGTGAGCCACAGCCTGGTGAGCCACAGCCAGGTGAGCCACAACCAGGTGAGCCACAACCAGGTGAGCCACAACCAGGTGAGCCACAACCAGGTGAGCCACAGCCTGGTGAGCCACAACCAGGTGAGCCACAGCCAGGTGAGCCACAACCAGGTGAGCCACAACCAGGTGAGCCACGGCCGGGTGAGCCACAGCCTGGTGAGCCACAGCCAGGTGAGCCACAACCAGGTGAGCCACAGCCAAGTGAGCCACAGCCAGGTGAGCCACAACCAGGTGAGCCACAGCCAGGTGAGCCACAACCAGGTGAGCCACAGCCAGGTGAGCCACAGCCAGGTGAACCACAGCCAGGTGAGCCACAGCCAGGTGAGCCACAGCCAGGCGAACCACAGCCAGGTGAGCCACGGCCAGGTGAGCCACAGCCAGGTGAGCCACAGCCAGGTGAGCCACAGCCACAAGCAAAATTAGTTACATTAACTTTAAGTACAAATACATATTACCACATCATTCTGAAAGGTAATTTACATATCAGATGCGTTGCAATTACATGAAATTGGTCGTTACAATTAAAATACAGTGTTTTAATTACTATGAATCCTAACAATGTGGGTTTACATCCTCGACTCACTATCCAAGGACCCGGGTTTAATCCTCGACCACGGCAGAAATGGTTGGGCTTTTCACATCATGCCTCTATTCACCTAGCAATAAATAGCCATCCGGGAGTTAAGTAGATTGCATAGGGTGAAAGTAAATCAACTTGCACCAGCCTGAGGAACTAATCCACCTTCGGGAACGGCGAAGTGAAATGTCTTGGGTCTTCCCAGACGCGGCTACTGGAGGAGGGACTGACGGCGTCGGAGGTAGTGGTGGTGGCCAAGGCCCTGGGGAGGTTCCATGGGACAGCGGTGGCCTTCAAGGTCTCCAATGGGACCAGCCTCGACGATGCCTTTCCCGCCTGCTTCCACGTCGCCCGCGCCGACAGTCCGCTCTTCACCTTCTTCCCAAAGGCTGGGTTCGAACGGTGAGGTTCCGAGCTCGACTTGTTCCTTCTGTTTCTTTAATTCGGGTCGTTGTGTACATAATGATGGTTCGCATTAAACTAACTCAAGTCAATCTAAAATAGCCCATTCCAATCTGAACTAATCCAGCCCAACCAGAACTAATCCAACCCAATCTAAACTAACCCAACCCAATTTAAACTAACCCAACCCAACCTAAACTAACCCAACCCACCCTAAACTAACCCAACCCAAATTAACCCAACCCAATTTAAACTAACCCAACTCACACTAACCCAACCCAATTTAAACTAACCCAACCCAATTTAAACTAACCCAACCCAATTTAAACTAACCCAACCCACCCTAAACTAACCCAACCCAAATCTAAACTAACCCAACCCACCCTAAACTAACCCAACCTAAACTAACCCAACCCAATCTAAACTAACCCAATTCACACTAACCCAACCCAATTTAAACTAACCCAACCCAACCTAAACTAACCCAACTATATAAATAGTTTTAACAAAATTTGGGCCAAATGCAAGAGGCCTGTGAACGACGTGACCACCTAACAACCTAACACCTCATTGCGTGCTAAACTGGGCCACTACCACCTCCTCCACGGGAAATGAAATGACCTAAGATCAAAGTAGCAAATTTTTTCCTTCAATGCTGCCTCTAGTTTTCCTCTGCTGCTTAATTCTTTTCCACCATATTCCTTGAACACTTTATCAGTAAAAAAATCTTAAAGCTTGCTCAAGCAGAGACGCGAGTTTGAGTCCACCACATGACTCCAAAATCTGACTGGTGGGTTTGGGACTGGTGTCCTCCTTATTGCCTATCAACCGGACGGTTATTAAGGCCAGCAGAATAGTTTACTGATCCCAGTAAGTATACTTTAGCCCTTAACAGTTCAAGACTAAGGTAAACTCGGTGTATAGCGCGATGCACCCACCCGAGTATACATCCGTGATCCCTTGTAGTCTCACCACCTGACGGAGAATATTCCAGCCGGAAATGAGCTAATGGGTATACATAGCCAGCACCTTCCCTCCCTTCTTGTACCAGATTCACGAAGCAGTTACGCAAGCACTTACGAACCTGTACATCTTATCTCACGCTTTAGCGGCATTGTTTACAATTATTAAACAGTTAATGAGCTCCGAAGCACCAGGAGGCTGTTTATAACAATAACAACAGTTGATTGGAAAGTTTTCATGCTTGTAAACTGTTTAATAAATGTAACCAAATCCGTCAAAGATTGAGGAAAGATGTACACGTCCGTAAGTACTTGCGTAACTGCTTCGGGAATCTGGCCCCTGGCGTGCGATTCATCAACCACTTAAGTGTCCACTTACGATCTCCCTATATCTTCAATCATGGCTGCTTGCTTTGTATCTATTAAACAGTTTATTAGCTAAGCGCTAAAAAGTTGTCCATGACAACAATAATAACCTTAGGTTCTGAAGCTTCCGAGCTCGTAAATTGTTTAATAAATACAGACTAAGGTACTATTATCCAGGAAAGATGAACAGGTTTCGTAACTGGTCACATACATACTACACGAGTCCTTGGGCTAGATTCACGAAAGCACTTACGAACGTGTACATCTTTCCTCAATTTTTGACGGCTTTGGTTACATTTATTAAACAGTTTACAAGCATGAAAACTTCCCATTCAACTGTTGTTATTGTTATAAACAGCCTCCTGGTGCTTCGGAGCTCATTAACTGTTTAATAATTGAAAACAAAGCCGCCAAAGAGTGAGAAAAGATGTACAGGTTCGTAAGTGTTTGCGTAAGTGCTTTCGTGAATCTGGCCTCTTGGCTCTGAGTGAGCACATCTTACCTCTCTGAACGACAACAGCTCACAACTGTGTTACACAATACACCAACAATTAAACAATCCCCCATGGGATCAACACCTACAAATTCATGCTGTAATCCTTATTGTGTTTTTTAATTTGTATTTCAAAACTCAAATAAACCACATGAACTCTACTAAATGAGGGTTATGAGGCAGTGACGATAAGTGTAATACGTAGGTTAATATGAGTGACAATGAGGTTCAGACCCGCTCCTAACACTGCCAGCCTGCGGCAGGAGTGGAGCGGGGTGCCGGAGCGAGCCACTCTCCTGCGCCTTCTGGAGCCGTACGAGGCCCACGCTGCCCCCCTCGTCCTCCACCACCTGGCCCCCAGGGAGCCCTTCGCCACCGCCATCCACGGAGACCCCCAGCCCACCAACATCTTCTTCAAGAACTCTACTGTCGGAGGGTGTGCAATTAAGGTAGGGCTAGATGTATAATCAGGGCAGGGGGCCAGATGTATAATCAGGGCACGGGACACCTGAAAGATCAGAACAAGGCCAGCTGCGTGATCACAGTAGACTCAGGTAGACTAATAATCTACGGTATACTCCTAGTGAGAGCACCTCAACACATTCAGCACCTGGCAGTATATATCCCAGGTGTTCTGGCCCCTCCCTCCTCTCTCCCTCTTCCTTCCTATCTCCCTCTTCCTCCTCCTCATCACTGTCCTTCCACTGGTCATACTGCAGATTACTACCATACTTGCCGGCGCATAAGACAACTGTTATATATATATATATATATATATATATATATATATATATATATATATATATATATATATATATATATATATATATATATATGTCGTACCTAGTAGCCAGAACTCACTTCTCAGCCTACTATTCAAGGCCCGATTTGCCTAATAAGCCAAGTTTTCCTGAATTAATATATTTACTATAATTTTTTTCTTATGAAATGATAAAGATACACTTTTCACTATGTATGAGGTCAATTTTTTTTTATTGGAGTTAAAATTAACGTAGATATATGACCGAACCTAACCAACCCTACCTAACCTAACCTAACCTATATATCTAGGTAAGGTTAGGTTAGGTAGCCAAAAAAAGCTAGGTTAGATTAGGTTAGGTAGGTTAGGTAGACGAAAAAACATAAATTCATGAAAACTTGGCTTATTAGGCAAATCGGGCCTTGCATAGTAGGCTGAGAAGTGAGTTCTGGCTACTAGGTACGACATATATATATATATATATATAATTATATATATATAATTATATATATAATTATATATATATTATATATATATATAATTATATATATATATATATATATATATAATTATATATATATATATATATATATATATATATATATATATATATATATATATATATATATATATATAATTATATATATATATATATATATATATATATATATATATATATATATATATATATATATATATATATATATATATATATATATATATATATATATATATATATATATATATATATATATATATATATATATATATATATATATATATATTTGGTGGATATTTTTGCTTCATAATACGTTTTATTTAAAGTAATTTTCAAGTGGTTTTGTAAGAGAAAACATGTGAATTTATGCATGTAAACACAATATATATTGAAATGGAGCAGAAGCATGCTTCCTATTCCCTGGCAACTACGGTACTTTTTCAATAATTATAATTGTTGTCTCTCTTATTGTACATTTATGTTGATAACGATCTCACTATATTGAACATTCTGGGAACCCTATTAACATGCTCAGTATATCTGGACCATCAAAAGTGATTCATATTTAATACTCGAGGTTCCTAACAACCAATTAATCATATGACAATTACAGAGTGATGCTCCACAAGTTCCCAGCTCAAACATGTTTCAGCATGACAGTTACTCTTTAATTTACTTATCATGCCCATCTGCTGCTGTATTATACATTTAGACTTGCAGGAAATAGAAGCAACAACAAACGAGACCCATCCTGTGATTATAACTAACAATCTTAATTATTTTATTTTAATTACATGCAAGTGGCCACTGCTTCAGTTACCATTCACAGACTAGTCCAGTAATATTCGAGGTGACAACTTTACTCTCACTCATACATATCAGTTACATTAACAGCCGACTGTAGGAAATTGCTGATAAAAAACACAATAAATAAAGAACATTTTACAATCTTGTGTAGTTTGATGCTGTTCACAAACCCAGTACTGCAAGCTGAAATGTATATAATAACTCAGTATACAATAACAATGCTTGTTATTTCACATAAAGTTTCACTGGAACACAAAGTTTCCAACTTTATGTGTCCACGCCCTGAGAAACTCAAGCATGTTTATCCTCACCAGCTGATCGACTGGGCACAGGCGCGGTACAGCCAGGGCACCTATGACCTCATCTACCTGCTGTCCATCGGTGCTGAGCCCGAGGTGAGGCGCCAGGTCTACCTGGAGGCCAAGGAGGAGTACTTCAGAGCCTTCAACGTCACCCTCAGGCACCTCCAGGCTGGTCTCACCTACCCAAGGTCAGCCTCAAGCATCACTTCTCAAGCATAAACTTAACATTTAAAAAAAAAATACAAAAGATTGCAACAAGATTAGTGCTAAGAGGGTTCAGCTACGAGAATAGAACAGTGGAACTAAATCTCACAACTCTAGAGGATAGAAGGAACAGGGGGGGATATGATCACAACATACAAGATACTGAGGGGAATAAGTAAAGTGGAGCCTCTTCAAATTGAGAGAAAGTAGGATAAGAGAACAAAGGTAGAAGCTGGAAATGCAACTGAGCCGAAGGAATGCACATAAATACTCGGGCTGGACGGTAGAGCGACGGACTCACTTCATGCAGGTCGGCGTTCAATCCCCAATCGTCCAAGTGGTTGGGCACCATTCCTTTCCCCCGTCCCATCGCAAGTCCCTATTCTGACCCCTTCCAAGTGCTATATAGTCGTAATGGCTTGGCGCTTTCCCCTGATAAATCCATCTCCCGTACCCTGTACGGGTTGTCAACAAGTAGAGTGTATTGTGCACTCTCCATCCAAAACTTTAAGGCCAGATTCGACAAAATAAAGAGCTAGACCTCACTCCTTGGTAGACACTGTTAGGTAAGCACTACTAGGTAATCATAGACACCCTCCCTCCCATATTCCATCCCTCCGTCACTATCTGTCTCTTGTACATCTATCTCTTCCACTCCCGTTCTCATCTTGCACCTGGTAGAAAATTTAAAGAAAACGAATACGCGAAGCGGCAATAAATGGTTAACTAAGACATACTTTCCACAGGTATTTTGCCTTGCATGAAGAGTATGATAACCGCAAAAAATATTATAAAACATTGAATTGGATTGCATTTAGATGTTAACATTAGTCAGTGAAACCTTCTATAACGAAACCTTAAGTAATTATTTTTGTTATTTGAGTTTTTTTTTTCCATTCGTATATAGTACATCTTAATATTGTACAATATATAAAAACAATTCACCAATGTTTCATGCTGCACTGTAACTTATAACAATTAATTAAAGGATATTCCCGTAAGTGCTTCAGTGACGAAGTTTGTTCGGACCACAACGCTGTAAATGCTTCACCCACGTACTACAAATACAAATAATCGCCAACAGAGCCTAAACACCTAACCTAACCAATGCCTAAATATGCACAATATGCTAATATATAACAATTAATTTATATTTGAGAAAATTCCTATTCTGAATGAACAGCATGTTAGCAATTATGAATGCGTCATTGGGGTCGACCGCGGGATGGAATGGACTTGGTCTGAGGACGAGTTGCGCCATCAGTTGTGAGTCGTGTGTAAACCGTTTTTCATTCATAAACCGGGGGGGGGGAGGTTTGGCGGGTGCATGGAATGGACTTTTGGGTCTTTGTTTAGATGACGGGCTGCCCACATAATGCTTCCCACGGCGACTCCCCCAAGACGAGGACTGAGCGTGACTGAGCGTACCTGTGCCTGCAGGTCGGTGTTCGAGGCAGACATGGTGGTGAGCGAGCAGCTGAGCGTGGTGTGGAGTGTGGCCAGTATCAACCTCCTGTACTCCAGCGCCAGGCTCCAGCGCCGACTGCTTGGCATCCTCACTGACGTCCTCAGCAACCCGAATATTGAGCCTCCGAAGATGCCTCTCCCAAAACCCTCCTCCCAGAAAGCTTCTGACACCAGGCGCCGCTGCTCCTCGTCTTCAGAGACCTCGTTCACACACCAAACATTGTGATTCCCAGAACTATATCGCTTATCTTTCTCGCTGATTTTGTTTTTCCCGACACCTGCTTTTTATTGTATTATTCCCCTTCCCCGCCACTCACCCTCCTCCATAGTTTCCTCCCGAACCTCTCCCCCCATCACTCACATTCCTCATTAGTTCCAAACTCAAGCAGAGGCCCTAACGAAATTTCAATGAAGTGTTTCAGGGTGCCGACATGGACCCCCTCCACCACCACTAGTCCTCCACGCCATGCTCTTGGAGGAGGACCACACAGTCTCCTCCTCCTGCTACTGGAGGTGACGCTCATCAAGACTTCACAACCTCTTCTCCCAAAATAACCCGAGCCAAGACTGCTCTTGGTGACATAGTAACTGTTATGTCTTCTTGTGCTGTGTGATGGAGTATCCAGGTCGTCTCTGTGGCTAAATATACCTTTCTTTTATTTTAGTTTCTGTTTGAAAGCCGATATATGCGGGGGAATGGAGATGAATCTCACTTGTTCATAACATTAAGATTTTAATGCTTTTTATTTCCTTTGGTAGTTTGTAAAATATATGATTTATTTGTGATTTCTTTTATTTTCACACAATATAAAAAGACAAGAGATCTGCCCGAAACGCTATGCATGTTTTTGGTTTTAGAAAGAATGAAAAAACACTCACATGTACTCTCACAACAAGATGTACCTTCTTCCATATAATTAACTAAATAAATAGATAAATAAATAGATAAATCAGGTATTAAAACACGCTGTCTGTGACGTGATGGCCGAGTTCCCACCTGTGTCTTCCAGCTTATTGTTGACATTTTTTCCATTAATAATGTTTGACTAAAATGAACAAAAAGACTTTAATAATAATAATAATAATAATAAAAATAATAATAATAATTATTATTATTATTATTATTATTATTATAAATTTCTTATTATTTTCTTATTAATAGTACGCGCATCACACACGTTTCACTCCTAGCTAGAATATATTATCAAAGTCGCCACCCATGTACCTGGATTGCACCTGGAGATGGTTCTGGGAGTTCTTCTGCTCCCCAAGCCCGGCCCAGGGATTGGCATGACTTATGAGAACTTGGTCCAACAGGCTGTTGCCTGGTGCGGCCCTTAAGAAAACATTTCAACTACAGTCCGGTTGGTCCGGCACTTCTTGCAGAAAACTATTCAGTTTTTCTTGATGACTACGACTTTTGTTCCGGCAATATTTCATATAATTGCTAAGAGGAAACTGAACAACCGTGGACCTCTGGTGTTCATACAGTGTTCTCTGACTGTGGCTATGGCACCTCTACTCCTTACTGTCTCTATTCTGCATTTCCGTCCATATCGTTCACTCTAGTATGTTGTTATTTTACTGTGTAAATTTGGTACCTGGCCCGCCAGTATTTTCATGTATATATTAATTGATACCTCACTCGTCTCCTTTCTAGAGGGTACATTTTGAGAGCTTTGACACGTCCCAATAGTTTTGGTGCTATATCGTGACTATGCGTGCCATATATGTTTTCTGTATTCCCTCTATTTCAACAATCTCTCCTGCTTTAAAGGGTAAAGTGTGAACCAAGCTGTACTCAAGACGGGACAGTATAGATGATGTTAACAGTATAACCATTGTGATGGGATCCCTGGTTTTGAAGGTTCTCGTAATCCATCCAATTATTTTTCTATCTGGCGCTATATTTTCTTGGTTATGCTCCCTGAATGTTAGGTCGTCAGGCATCATTATTCCCAGATCCTTTACATGATGCTTTCCTATTCCGTGCAGATATGATTGTGTCTTGTACCCTGTATTTTGTTTAAGATCCTCATTTTTACCGTACCCAAGTACCTGGAATTGACCATTGTTAAACATCATGTTATTTACTGCTGCCCAGTGAAAAAACTTATTAACATCAACTTGTAGTTTTTCAATGTCTTCAACAGAAGTAGTTTTCATGCTGATTTGAGTGTCATCTGCAAAAGATGACGCGAAGCTGTGACTTGTAATTGTGTCTATATCTGACATAAGTATAAGGGAAAGCAGTGGTGTAAGGACTGTGCCCTGAGGTACAGAGTACTTCACTTAGCTTGGACTTGATTTTGTTTGAGTGTTACTCTTTGCGTTCTGTTTGACAGAAAATAGAATATCCATCGTCCTACTTTACCTGTTAGTCCTATGACCTCATTTTGTGTGCTATCACTCCATTCATCAAATACCTTTGCAAAGTCCGTGTATACCATTTCGACATTCTGTTTTTCTTCAAGTGCATCAGTGATTTTGTCATTGTGGTCGAGTAGCTGCGAAAGGCACGATCTTCCCGTTCTCAATCCACGTTGACATGAGTTGTGGATGCCATTAGTATCCATGAAACTCGAGATATGACCCCTGATCACTCTCTCTAAAACGTTTATTATCTGGGATGTTAATGCGACTGGTCTATTGACCAGACCACACACTAGAAGGTGAAAGGACGACGACGTTTCGGTCCGTCCTGGACCATTCTCAAGTCGACTGTGCCAGAATGGTCCAGGACGGACCGAAACGTCGTCGTCCCTTCACCTTCTAGTGTGTGGTCTGGTCAACGTACTTTAGCCACGTTATTGTGACTCATCGCCTGCGACTGGTCTATATGTTTTAGCCAATGCTTTGCTCCCTCCCTTGTGTAGAGGAGCTATATCTGTTGAGTTAAGCATTCCTGGTACCTTCCCCGTGTCTAAGATATTTCTCCACACTATACCGAGTGCGAGTAAGGTTACCAAAGTCGACCACGTGACGGAAATAAGATTATATTTCTTTACATCTGATATGCATCTTGGATCTGCGGCTTGACCTGGTTTAGGGTTCTGACTATATTTGCCAAGCAAATAATTGTTTGTTGCTTGCTCGCCTGCTCAAACCTCATCCAACTCACTCAACTCACTCACTGTCTCCTTTCATTCTGCCTTAAATATTAGTTCGTTACCCTTAGCAGGGAGGAGGGGGCGGGGGGGGGGCGTAGTCAACTGGAGATGTTTGCCAACTCGTCCTCCAAAGTACAATACAAGTCAAATACGAACGTATAAATCTTAATTAGTCAGTATTTGACTTGAGTGTTGTGACCCAAGCGACCTCTTGTTCTGATGATGGGCGGGCACTTGCAGTACGTGGACGAAACATTTTGAAGTGCACTTCCTACACAGAACAAAGCAATGTTCAGGAAGAGTTTGAATACAATCCGTTTTGATTCGTCTATAACAGTCAGTCCTCATCTACAAAGGCCAAATGTTCGTTTATCCAGCCGCTAACCCCTGTTTCGTTGAGGTTATCTTGAGATGATTTCGGGGCTTTTAGTGTCCCCGCGGCCCGGTCCTCGACCAAGCCTCCACCCCCCAGGAAGCAGCCCGTGACAGCTGACTAACACCCAGGTACCTATTTTACTGCTAGGTAACAGGGGCATAGGGTGAAAGAAACTCTGCCCATTGTTTCTCGCCGGCGCCTGGGATCGAACCCAGGACCACAGGATCACAAATACAGCGTGCTGTCCCCTCGGCCGACCGGCTCCCTGTTTATAGATGAAAAGCTCTTTACATACGACTCACAACGTTCGAACATTTCTCAAACATGCAGGCGATGAGTCACAATAACGTGGCTGAAATATGTTGACCAAACCACACACTAGAAAGTGAAGGAACGACGACGTTTCGGTCCGTCCTGGACCATTCTCAAGTCGATTGTGAGACAATCGACTTGAGAATGGTCCAGGACGGACCGAAATGTCGTCGTCCCTTCACTTTCTAGTGTGTGGTCTGGTCAACATATCTCAAACATTGCCTCGCTGGAAGGGCCAGCACTGTGGGGACATGCCCAGCACACCACTGGAACATTACCTAACACAGTGCACAGTTACAAACCAAATAACATTTCAACTAAGATTCAACAGAGCAGAAGTTGTCAAACACATTGGGCATAATCTTACTTAAGCCAACATACGAGTCATAAATACTCATACTCCGCTTAAGTAAAACAGAAACAAGAAACAAGCAACACATAGTGGCCCAGCGATAGGCCTAGGGGCCCGCGCAGGAATAACCCTGTCAAAAGAAAATGCTTCGCTAACGACCTCTGCAGGAATTGCAACTTTGCAAATGTACTAAAAAAAATTTTTTTTTTTACTACTTTTTTTTACCCCACGTACTAAAAAAATACAAATAATCGCCAACACAACCTAAACACCTAACTAACGCATAACTAGACCTAGAACTTTAATATGTAGTGTATATATGTGAAAAACTTCTTTTTAATACAAACTACGAAACAATTATGAATGATTTAACGGGCCTGGCCTGAGGACAGGATGCAGTCCTCATAAACATTGGCTAAAAGCTCGTTAATCCAGCGGCCAACCCCCCTGTATATGAATGACAAACACTTCACACACGACTCAACTGATTACATTCCAGCTTTGATCATGTGCTTCACTCTCCAGCTGCCGAACACCACCTCTCTAAATGCTTCATCCACGTACTTCACATAAGCTTACTTATTTACAAAATCTGTATATATAAATTGAATATGGAAAAAATGTGTTTGGTTACAATGTCAAAATTGACGAATGCTTCCCTGGGGGGTTCGGCCGGAGCTTGGACGAGCATAGGCTGAGAGTGAGCTACAGCAGGAGGACAGTGTCAGCGAGGCGGACAGCCCGTCTACTATCCTAACTTATACTATTATACTATATACCCCATTTCAAAACGTTACCTTTCGCCTGTGACTTCACAATAAAACTACATGTGCTGAAGCTATGAATAAACACTGACGCCGTACAATGGGATCGAATCCTTGTTCCTGGACTCCTGGGCCACACGCACGATGGACTTCAAAGTACCTCATCCGAAAGCACTACTTAATGGAGTTTAGAAGGCACCATCCCGGTGCCACAACCCCAAGTCTTGCGACCTCCCCGAGACTAACGCCATCCTTGTCTCAGCTTACGCCAAGTTACCCTTATCAACAGCAACTTTGCACGTGCTGAGTATCACATTACGCAAAGTTGGAGACGAAACGGGCCATGACTCCCGCCACAGCTGGAGTCTATGTTTCGAAACATAGACTCCATGAACTCCATAGAGTCTAGTTTGGCGTCTATGCATATTATGCATATTATGCCAACTTGATGATGTTGGGATTAATTTTTGTCGGGATGAGGAAGTCTGTAATTAGGCTTATCGAGGTGCTCTTGGCTAACTACTGACCTTAACCAGGACGCTACCCACAACAGCTGTCTAAATCCCGGGTACCTGTTAATTGACAAGTGAATAGGCGCATCAAGTGAAAGGAAACGTGTTTTACCGTTTCTGTCCCGCCCACAGATCGAATCCCGGATCCCTTGGTCGGGATTCTACGATGTAGACCACTGCGCTATACTAGTTTCCATATGACTCAAAATAGTTATCAACTCGTCTATAATAACTAGGTTTCTCTCTTTGGTTAAATAATGTATTTATGTGCATTTATCCGAAAGCCACAATCTCCCTAGTGGGCTTGACTGGGACAGGAAGCCGGTGGCTTGTCAAAGATCTCCCCTTTGTTCCTGAGGACTTTTTGTATCTGATTTTTTTAACTGAAGTAAAGTCTTGGCATTTACATCATCTGCGGGTAGGAGGTTCCATGGGATTATAACCCTATGGGTGAAAACACATCAACTCACGGGAGACGTCTCCCGTCACGCAGGGTGCAGTCGCACCTCCACAGATCTCCAGTATCATCTATTGATACTGGTGATGGCTCAAAAGGGCCACTACTTACGGGCTATTCATGCCCGTGCCACCTTTTGGGTGGCTTAATGTTCATCAATCAATCAATCACATCAACTGTTACATAGTGTCCTACACTGTTGAGTTTGACGCCGCTGCCTCAAGGCCAACTGCTGCCTTCAAGTATTTGTAAGACGTAAAAAATTCCCCCCATGTTCTGTAATAGTTGAAACACTGGCAAACAAACACCCAACATGGAGTCTAGTGTCTACACACGAGCACAAACCCAAACTGTTATATATAGATTAACAAGGATCTGATTAACAAGGTTAATCTAAAGATTAACCCTATTACAAATTAACAATTTCAACTAAAGTTCTTTCCCCACATATCTGCCCTTCTCCCTTCTTTTCCCTAGCACCCACCTCTCTTATCTCCCTCCCTCTATTTGTCTCGAACTTGTGCCTGATGCTCTTATGAATGACTTGCTCTAACCTGTCAGCACACAAGTGTGTACTCACCTATTTGTACTCACCTATTTGTGCTTGCGGGGGTTGAGCTTTAGCTCTTTGGTCCCGCCTCTCAACTGTCAATCAACAGGTGTACAGGTTCCTGAGTCCTCTGTGTGGAATGACGTAAGAGGCCTACTCGCCTGTGATTGGGGTATATCCCAACCGTCATACAATTTGAGTATTAACGTGTGTGTGTGTGTGTGTGTGTGTGTGTGTGTGTGTGTGTGTGTGTGTGTGTGTGTGTGTGTGTGTGTGTGTGTGTGTGTGTACTCTCCTATTTGTGCCTGCAGGATCGAGCATTGACTCTTGGATCCCGCCTTTCTAGCCACCGGTTGTTTACAGCAATGACTCCTGTCCCATTTCCCTATCATATCTTGTTTTAAAAGTATGAAAAAGAGTTTGCTTCCACAACCTCCTCTTTAAGTGCATTCCATTTTTCCACTACTCTCACGCTAAAATAAAACTTCCTAACATCTGTGACTCATCTGAGTTTCCAGCTTCCACCCATGTCTCCTCGTTCTGTTATTATTCAGTGTGAGCATTTCGTCTATTTCCACTCACTCCCAAACAGACCACATAGTATCCTCTCACACAGATAGGAGTTTACCTCCAGGTTTCCCCTTAAATACCCATGGAACTGTATGTTGACCAGACCACACACTAGAAGGTGAAGGGACGACGACGTTTCGGTCCGTCCTGGACCATTCTCAAGTCAAGTCACAATCGACTTGACAATGGTCCAGGACGGACCGAAACGTCGTCGTTCCTTCACCTTCTAGTGTGTGGTCTGGTCAACATTCTTCAGCCATGTAATTGTGACTCCTCGCCTGTACATGGAATTGTATAGTAGAGGGACTGATAGACAGATAGAGACAGGGAGCGAGGAGCCTCGCTAGGTCTACGCTCAACCCGTTCTCGCACTTTCGTATAGTCAATATTGACTAATTAAATACGTGCATATGTGATATACTAAACATACTAGTTTACCTTGAAAAGCTTCATAGAAAACACCGACCTTACCTAACCTTCTTAGTATGTTAAGATAAGCATCTTATTGCTTCGTAATTACAATTATTACTTAACCTATTATAGGTATAGGTATATAATCTATAACTATTATAGGTATAGGTTATTTTGTATAGGTATAGGTATATATAGGTTATATACCTATACCTATAATAGGTATATAACCTATACCTATTATAGGTATAGGTTAGGCAATAATTGTAATTACGAAGCAATAAGATGCTTATCTTAACATACTAAGAAGGTTAGGTAAGGTCGGTGTTTTCTATGAAGCTTTTCAAGGTAAACTAGTATGTTTAGTATGTCACATATGCACGTATTTAATAAGTCAATATTGACTGTAAGAAAGTGCGAGAACGGGTTGCAACGCTGGCCTGTCCCAGGTCGGTGGGGACTGTCAGCCGTATCATCCCTCCTTGGTAACAATCTTATAATCAGAGACTTTGGTGAGTGAGTGTGTAAGGCTGACGTATATTTGGTGGTTTCCAATTTAAGTGTTGTGTAATTTTTCAGGGGCAGTCAGCCGTAGTTGCTCTCAATTTCTTGTGTGGTGACTTAAATTCTGCATTAATGTTGACATTTAAACACCCAATAAAATGGCTGAATTATGATACACATACGAGTAAATATATAATAATAAGCGGGAAAACCACTTGTGAAAAATCAAGAATACTAAACGCGTTTTCGGCTCGACTTGCTTTCCTCAGAGCATTTTAGAATCATGGATTCTAAAATGCTCTGATGCAGGCGAATTGAAAACGCGTTTAGCATTTTTTATTTTTTCACATGTGGTTTTTCCGCTTACAGCACTCTGACGTGTATTTGCTAAAGATTCTGTCTTAAAAGATTCTTGGCCATATGATTTACATGTTTACAAGTGTTACGTGATAGCATCAGTTAATATTGTGGTATAGACAAGTTCCATTCATTGTCTTATAAATAACTCTTGAATAGATTGATTGATTGATAAAGATTAAGCCACCCAAGAGGTGGCACGGGCATAATTAGCCCGTAAGTTGTACAATTTTTTGTTCAGTAATTCTTTTCAGTATTCTGAGGTTGCATTTAATCGTCAAGCTGTTATTGCGGGGGAGGATACTGCTTGACAGTCTTTATGAGGGTGTCCAGCTGCTGGACACCTTTGTTGACCAGGAGAGTGGCTGTGTTGATGGCTTCAGGGTGGCCACTGCAAGATTCAGGGACTCTTATCTTGAATAGATGGTGGCAGCCCTTTTCTACCTTCTCCCTACCTCTTTCCTTCAGCACTTGCCTTCCCCTTCCATTCTAACCTTTCCCTTTCTCCTGACCACTCTTCCTCGTTCCTTCCTTCCACCTGTCTACCTCCCTTACTATGAGTTTTCTCCCATATTTTTCTCCAATTACTGTTCCGTTACAAGACTAGGAGGCGGGCTATAGTGGGAGAGGAAAGAGGGGAAGGAGAGGGATGAAGAAAGGGGAGAGAGAGAAGGATGGAGAGAGGGGGAAGAGGGAGAGACACACATGGACACAACCAGGTTCCCCATCTTGTGTTTTATAAAAGAACAATCCCTCGACAAACAATAGAGCCTCGGGTCTGATAACAAACACACCGTCAGTCAGATCCCTGTGGAGTCTTCTTGTTAACTTCTCCTCAAGACTGTCCGCCCTGAATACCGCGCTCCTCCTGATAACTTTATCAGATCCATCACTTTGAATACTCTTGATGCCCCTGAACAAACGCATTGTTTCTCAAGGGCTCGGCTATTTGTAGAGAGTTGCAGCATGAGATGAACACCAGAGATGCTGGGATAGAACGAGGGTGGATTAATTCTCAGTGTGAGATAATCACCTATTTAGTGATGAGTGAGACATATTTGTCCAAACTGAGAAAGGTGTTTGGGCTGGTCCAGGGCAGAACGTTTACAGTAACGTAAATGAAACAATGTAATTATATATTTAAGAAGTTGTGAGGAGTTCAATTGGACTTCAGGAGTTCAACAATTGGACTGTGAACCTGACTGGGAGTGAGATGAATGTATGTGTAAATAACGTCTTCTCTACTAACAGGTCGCATTTTGTACGTTGTGGTAACCAATGTTACAAATGCACCCATCTCTAAAAAGTAACGGCTCTTAAATATTCAACGTTTTCTACGAGTCGGACTCGACAGGTTAAGATTGTTGCTAGGGTAATTATCTGGTTAGGTGAAGAGGTTAGATTGTACACGTAGAGGCAGATGAAGAGTACGGGGCTGGCGTGAAGATATATATTAACACCTGTATGGCAGGTGTTAACATAAATGAACAAATCCACAAGGGCCGTGACGAGGATTCGAACCTGCGTCCGGGAGCATCCCAGACACTGCTTTAATCGACTGAGCTACGACAGGATAAAAAGGTTAGTGTGATCTCTGTGTGTAGTGTAAGGTGTTAACATACATCCTCGAGTGTGACATTGAGGACCAAGGCCAAGTGCTGTACTTGGAGTTGCTGCTCGTATCCGGGACATTTTGTGACGGAGTTTCACGAAGTATTGTTGACAATTCATGGAGGAGTGTTAATCCTTCGTGGAGCCGGACTTAATGTTATACCAGAATACATAATAGCTCTGATTAATGGGGTTTTGTGTATCCTGTATCACCTCGCTACGAAAAGAACGATACATCCTGACCACGATCCAAATTCATCCTTATAACATACAACATAGGAATACATTATATGCTTCATTTGATTAATATTGTATTTGTAACTAATTCTCTTTCAAGACATGTATAGACTACAGAGAGACATATACTAAATATAGAAGTGAAAGAGATATGGAGTTGTATTAAGTATGTGTTTTTTGAAGTGAAGGCGGGACGTCCACTCCCCCTCCCCCCCCCCTATCCCACCCGAAGCCCCATATAAATCGGACTCTGCATCACTTGAGCTGACACGGGAGACATCTCCCGTCACGCAGGGTGCAGCCGCACCTCAACAGATCTCCAGTATCAGCTCTTGATACTGGTAATGGCTCAAAAGGGCCACCACTTACGGGCTATTCATGCCCGTGCCACCTTTTGGGTGGCTTCATCTTCATCAATCAATCAATCACTTGAGCTGTTGTGCACGTCAGACCCCGTAGATGCCTCTGCTTGACTCAACAAATTTCAAGTGCAAGAATGCCTAATAATCTATACTAATTGTCTAGAAAATCATTTGCTCAAGTTATCTGTTGGTGGGTAGAATATGTCTACTCGATGTTTTGTTTACATATTATTTAAGCCGGGTGTATATAGTTTAGTTTTACAGTCTTAAAGTGTATATAAGACGCGTTAAATGACGAAACTCAGAGGGGAAGGGAACTATCAGAAGGGAAAGCGTCAAGCCATTACGACTATATAGCACTGGGAAGGGGTCAGGATAAGGATTTGGGATGGGACGGGGGGAAGGAATGGTGCCCAACCACTTGGACGGTCGGGGACTGAACATCGACCTGCATGAACCGAGATCGAATGTCAGAGAGAGAGAGAGAGAGAGAGAGAGAGAGAGAGAGAGAGAGAGAGAGAGAGAGAGAGAGAGAGAGAGAGAGAGAGAGAGAGAGAGAGAGAGAGAGAGAGAGAGAGAGAGAGAGAGAGCGAGAGCGAGAGCGAGAGAGAGAGAGAGAGAGAGAGAGAGAGAGAGAGAGAGAGAGAGAGAGAGAGAGAGAGAGAGAGAGAGAGAGAGAGAGAGAGAGAGAGAGAGAGAGAGAGAGAGAGAGAGAGAGAGAGAGAGAGAGAGAGAGAGAGAGAGAGAGAGAGAGAGAGCGAGAGCGAGAGAGAGAGAGAGAGAGAGAGAGAGAGAGAGAGAGAGAGGTCTTAGACACCAGCTGTGAGAGGTGTTTTCCACCATGTGAGAGAGAGCTGACTAAACCAGAGACAGTACAACACAAATTAGTCTCGCTTGTTCAGAGTTTAATACTGAGAAAGTGATCGATTTCAGTGTTCTGTATTTTGACTTGCTTGAGTTGAAAATATATGAAATGCTGCTCATAAACATAGAAAAATATGAAAAAACTATGAAGATGACATTGGATCCAAAGCAAAGCAACTGAAGTTACTACATAGTCATATACAAATAACAATTACAATAAAATATTAAGTGATTGGATATGCAAGAAAATGACAGGAAAAATTTGCGAGGAGCTGTGACTTGTGAGAAAGGAATACTGACAGCCCATTTCAAAACTGGAGAAATTCCTGACCTGGAGAGCTTGCAGAGATCCTTTACTGCTAGAATCCACTCGGTAAAACATCTAAACTATTGGGAAAGACTAAAATGCCTATATCTGTATTCTCTTGAGCCCAGGTGGGAGAGAAACATAATTTACACGTGGAAAATAGTAGTGGGGATGGTCCCAAACCTGCACACAGAAATAACACAATATGAGACCAGGAGGCATGTCAGGATGTGCAGAATACCCCCGTTGAAAAGCAGAGGTGCAACAGGTACTCTGAGAGAGAACTCTATCAACATCAGAGGCCCGAGACTGTTCAACACGCTTCCACTACACATAAGGGGCATAGCTGGCCGACCCTTTACAGTGTTCAAGAGAGAAATTGATAAGCACCTCCAAAGGATACCTAATCAACCAGGCTGTGATTCATACGTCAGGCTGCGAGCAGCCGCGTCCAACAGCCTGGTTGACCAGTCCAGCAACGAGGAGGCCTGGTCGAGAACCGGGCCGCGGGGACGCTAAGCCCCGAAATCATCTCAAGGTAACCTCAAGGTAAGGTAGCTCAGAGCTCGTTTCAATATATATTAAATTACGACAGAGCAGGAACAGCTCCCAGTCTCAAGGGAGGAGGAAACCCTAGAAGAGACATTGAGATAAAAGCCGAGGCAATGAGACACTAGCATCAATAGATGATAATAAAGCTATGAGACCAGATACTTCACCATGGATAATATAAGAAGCTACACATTCCCCTCGATATACTCTGGTCTTTAATATTACAACTGAGAAAGGAATACTATCCTCATGTTGGAAAATGGTGAATATCATGTCAATAAATCAGAAAAGATTTAAGAAGGCACTAAACAACAGACCAGTGCCACTGACAAGCACCCCCTGCAGTGTATTCGAAGGAACATTAGGATCAGATAGTTTAAAACCTAGAGAGGATCAGATATGTAACCCAACACCTCAGGCAAGGAAAATCCTGCCTAACGAACTTTCTGAAGTTTTATGATAACGTAATAAATGTAACACAAGACATAAGTTGGGTTAATTGTGTATTTCTGGAATACACATGCGAGACTATTACACAAACTTAAGAGGCAAGCAGGAGTATGTGCATGAGTACAGGCATGAGTAAGCGTACCTAACAGACGGGAGTCAGAGTGAAAGTGAGGGGAAAGAAAAGGTTGGACTGGTGTAGAGTAATCAGAGTACCTCAGCTGCTGGTGATGGCACCCATATAATTTCTCAGTAATGTTACTGAGGTGAGCACATGAGTGAACTCCTACGTGTCATGTTAATCTGATGATGTCAAGCTAATAAGAGGAGCCGAGACACGTGAACGTCTTAAAATACTTCAAGATGACTTTAACAAGTTGCATGGTCCGATGATTGACTAGAGTTCAACACAAGGAAGTGTAAGGTGATAGAAATGAGTTATTAATACCATCACAATAGATTACTGACCAGCCAGTAAGTATACTTTAGTACTGATCAGGCTTAGACTAAAATAAACTAAAGTAAACTCGGAGTATACACACCAAGAAGCGAAATAAACCTTTATATAATCTTTACTATTTACTGTCAAATTTAAAGTAATATATTTAATTAATTTATTTATTCAGAATATCACCACAAAATGTGATCAATAATATATGCATATAACTTGTTTAATTCTTAATCCTTTTCAATATTTGTCTCTATCTGTTCTTGTGGACATTTGATCTTATCAATTGATAAGGTTGATAATGAGTACAGCGTCAGACGCAGCGGAGTGCTCAATGTTGCTAGTGGGTTCAACGACCGCCCGTCCCTGGCGACTCCCATTGGACGGCCTTACCTATTACAACACCCTCCCCCCCCCCACGCTGCTGGCTCCTGTAACCACCTGTAACTCCTGCGTAGTTGACATTTCTTTCACGCCACAACTTTGTACCCGATACAAAACTGGCAGTGGTAGACGTGGTGCCAAACAATTGAAGACTTGCCACGGCAACTGTGAGCTGTATTGTGAAAGTGATAGTGATAGTGACTTGTATTTGCTCGACACACAAACGTCTCAGTGTTAAAGGTTCCACACGTTCTGCTGCTGGAGGTACAGGCTTGGTACATGGGTACCATGTATATAGTGGAGGTATACATGCTTGGTACATGGGTACCATGTATATACTGGAGGTATACAGGCTTGGTACATGGGTACCATGTATATACTGGAGGTATACAGGCTTGGTACATGGGTACCATGTATATACTGGAGGTATACAGGCTTGGTACATGGGTACCATGTACATACTGGAGGTATACAGGCTTGGTACATGGGTACCATGTATATACTGGAGGTATACATGCTTGGTACATGGGTACCACGTACATACTGGAGGTATACAGGCTTGATACATGGATACCATGTATATACTGGAGGTATACATGCTTGGTACATGGGTACCACGTACATACTGGAGGTATACAGGCTTGGTACATGGGTACCACGTACATACTGGAGGTATACAGGCTTGGTACATGGGTACCACGTACATACTGGAGGTATACAGGCTTGGTACATGGGTACCACGTACATACTGGAGGTATACAGGCTTGGTACATGGGTACCACGTACATACTGTAGGTATACAGTTTTGATGTATGGGTTGTTGTTGTTGTTTCAGATTTAGCTGCTCAGAACGAAGTGTCCATGTAGCACGGGCTATGGTGAGCCCGTAAATCGGGTTGATTGCTAAAGATTAAGCCAACACAAGAGGTGGCACGGGCAAGAGTAACCCGCGGGTATCGGATTATGCGGTGTGGTATTTTGTACCGATGGCCTGTTGAGAGCAGGTGCGGTGCTTTGGTAGGTCTGGTGATGGTGCAGTCTGTCCTCCCGAGGTTTCCCAACGTCAAGAAAACGGTCAAGTTAAATTGTCCTCGCCTAACCTACCAGAGGACCCAAAACAGAAAACGGAACAGTACGTCACTTTCGTCAGCCGCTTTCATTTTTTAGTACGACAATTTTTGGCCTTGTGTAACGCATACGCTCGAAATGCGACGTTCTTTGTAGGAGGACAGGTTGTGTGGTGTGTGTAACTTGTCCTCAGGGAGGAAATCCGCTCAAGGGAATGGATTGGGAATGACTATATAATTAGTGCTGTTATCTACTGTCTATCCATGGTTAGGTTACGGCTACTTTATTTTAACGTTTGGATAGGTTAGGTTAGGTTAATATGACGTATTATTGACAATAATATGAAATATGGAATTTGAAAACTATTTGAGTGTACCGCAAATTCCGTCTACAGAAAACCCAATTCTTCAAAGAAAACGTTTTCAGAATACACTTTTTATATTTTAAACCAACGATTTTTATTTCAATAAAGTTATAACGTGAGAATAATCTCTGTTTGCGACAAAGGTTCATTTGCTAGTTTACATGCAGACTATTACTAGAACCATAATAGGCTTTCAGACCATCACAAATATCTAAATTTCTATCCAGGTGGGGGTTAGAGGGGGGGGGGTGTTCTCAAAGTAATGGATTTGGTCTGAGGACGGGCACGTGCGTGTTTTTATTTACTATTTGTGCTTGCAGGATCGAGCCATGTGTGTGTGTGTACTCACTTAGTTGTGTGTGTGTGTGTGTGTGTGTGTGTGTGTGTGCTCACCTAGTTGTACTCACCTAGTTTTGCTTGCGGGGGTTGAGCTCTGGCTCTTTGGTCCCGGCTCTCAACCGTCAATCAACAGGTGTGTGTGTGTGTGTGTGTGTGTGTGTGTGTGTGTGTGTGTGTGTGTGTGTGTGTGTGTGTGTGTGTGTGTGTGTGGGCGGGGGAGAGGCCTTGGTAGGTCTGGTGACGGAGCTGCGTGAGAGCTTATTACGCGAGTTAGCTTTTAATGAAGAGACGAGAGACACACACTGAAAATGGTATAGAAAGGTGCAAGTGATGGGGCAAAAGGATGCACTTTATGGGAAAAGGGGAACAGGTGATGGGAATAGAAGGGTGCAGATGATGGGAATAGGTGGGGGGGTGCAAGTGATGGGGAAAGCGTAGAAGGATGCGTACTAAAGAACAATAATATAATGACATTTACCCGGTTGTCCACTATTACTACCCAGTCCTCCCTTCCTCTCCCCCTACTCTTCCCCCCTCTTCCCCCTCCTCTCCCCAATCCCCCCCTCTACGCTTCCCCCTCCTCCTCCTCGCCCCCTCCCCGGCCTCCCGCCAGGGCAGCCCTGACCCACATAAGTGAAGCAAAACCCTGTGTGCTGGTTGATCATACCGCAGTGTACGGTCCCCTGGTGAGTAGAGCACCCGTGTGTTGTCCTGTCCCGCCGCACACCGGACCTCGCCACAACACCTGGTGCTCCCCGTCACACACCTGGTGCTCCCCGTCACACACCTGGTGCCCCCCGTCACACACCTGGTGCTCCCCGTCACACACCTGGTGCCCCCGTCACACACCTGGTGCCCCCGTCACACACCTGTTGCGCCCCCGTCACACACCTGGTGCTCCCCTTCACACACCTGGTGCCCCCCCTGTCACTCACCTGGTGCTCCCCGTCACACACCTGGTACTCCGTCACTCCAGCCCCCTTGTACCCTGTCACGCTGTGTACTCCTCCCACAGTCACCCTCCCACAGTGCCACCCTCCAACAGTGCCACCCTCCCACAGTCACCCTCCCACAGTCACCCTCCCACAGTGCCACACTCCTACAGTGCCACCCTCCCACAGTGCCACCCTCCTACAGTGCCACCCTCCCACAGTGCCACCCTCCAACAGTGCCACCCTCCCACAGTGCCACCCTCCCACAGTGCCACCCTCCCACAGTCACCCTCCAACAGTGCCACCCTCCCACAGTGCTACCCTCCCACAGTCACCCTCCCACAGTCACCCTCCCACAGTGCCACCCTCCTACAGTGCCACCCTCCAACAGTGCCACCCTCCAACAATGCCACCCTCCCACAGTCACCCTCCCACAGTGCCACCCTCCAACAGTGCCACCCTCCCACAGTGCCACCCTCCCACAGTCACCCTCCAACAGTGCCACCCTCCCACAGTGCTACCCTCCCACAGTCACCCTCCCACAGTCACCCTCCCACAGTCACCCTCCCACAGTGCCACCCTCCTACAGTGCCACCCTCCAACAGTGCCACCCTCCAACAATGCCACCCTCCCACAGTCACCCTCCCACAGTGCCACCCTCCAACAGTGCCACCCTCCCACAGTGCTACCCTCCCACAGTGCCACTCTCCAACAGTGCCACCCTCCTACAGTGCCACCCTCCCAGTGCCACCCTCCAACAGTGCCACCCTCCCACAGTGCCACCCTCCCACAGTGCCACCCTCCAACAGTGACACCCTCCCACAGTGCCACTCCAACAGTGCCACCCTCCTACAGTGCCACCCTCCAATAGTGCCACCCTCCAACAGTGCCACCCTCCCACAGTGCCACTCTCCCAACAGTTACCCTCCAACAGTGCCACCCTCACAGTGCCACCCTCCAACAGTGCCACCCTCCAACAGTGCCACCCTCCTACAGTGCCACCCTCCAACAGTGCCACCCTCCCACAGTGCCACCCACCCACAGTACCACCCTCCCACAGTGCCACCCTCCCACAGTGCCACCCTCCCACAGTGCCACCCTCCCACAGTGCCACTCTCCCACAGTGCCACCCTCCCACAGTGCCACTCTCCAACAGTGCCACCCTCCAATAGTGCCACCCCTCCAACAGTGCCACCCTCCAACAGTGCCACCCTCCCACAGTGCCACCCTCCCACAGTGCCACCCTCCCACAGTGCCACCCTCCCACAGTGCCACCCTCCCACATTCACAGTGTACTCCCCTAAATGTTTCATGTCATTGTACCGGTGGGTTAAGCGCTAGCTCCTGACCTCCTTCCCCATTGTTCATCCGCTGGTTATTTTATCTAGTGGAATAGCACCCAACCTTCCTGCTATCGTATGTGCTTCGGAATCCTTATTTCAAACGTTTATTTGAAGCCAATTCCACTTGTCGATTTACTCGTCTACGACTCATGTTCTTGTTCTGCCGTTCCTCGTACTGAACACACATTTCTTGACTTTATCTGGTCCCAAGAATCATACATGTCGTGATCATGTCTATTCCATCTCCTAAGTGTGGCGAGGCGCAGCCCACTCCCCTTCTTCACAGGTAAGCAAGGCATCACCTGCTGCCCTGCTAGTCTCATCTTCTCCGACGTGTAAATCTCATGTAGTTTTATTTTTAAAAAATGTGGCTTTAGCTTGCAATTAGGCAACTTCAGAGGCAATTGCAGACCTTAATATTTTATTAAAGTATTTTAAAATAAGTTTACAGTGGGATAAGTTCAATAAGGAATATTTTATTTAGTATACAATAAGGAGATAATGGTTATAAATTTCTTTCGGGTACGTTGAGGGTAAACCGTGCCCAACTCCGTGCCCTATCTCAGGCACTTAACAAAGGGAGAATATGGAGTTGTCTATGCTATGCTGGATCTTTCGATTCTCAGATAATTACTTGTGTGCCACACTCAACTCTCTTTTACCACAAGTACACTTAGGAGACACACACACCGGGCACCCATTATATAAACACAAACTCTCTCTCTCTCTCTCTCTCTCTCTCTCTCTCTCTCTCTCTCTCTCTCTCTCTCTCTCTCTCTCTCTCTCTTTCTCATAAACTTGGTTCTTTGCAGGTAGGAGACGCAAGGATGGCGGAGAAGGAAGAGCTGCTAGTGAAGCAGGTGGAGGACATCACGGAGACCTGGGTACTGGGTCTCCTACACCACAGCCTCCACGCCCCGGGTAACTAACCCAGCATGCTATCTATTATCAACTCCGCCTGCTAACACACAGTGAAATCACAGTAGCGTGAGATAAAATCACTGGAGCCTATTGGTCTCGTATGGGCCAACAGACCTTTAGCAGTTTGGTTTATTCTTATGTTCTTTGCTCAGGGAATAGCTGTCTAAGTTTGATTCTGATGTTCAGTAGAGATGGAGAGGAATGTACAACGGGGAGATATTTCAGAATGTGAAGGAGGGAATGATTAGAGGGAAGGGAACCGAGAGGGAAGGTCCAAGTGTGTGTGTGTATGTGTGTGTGTGTGTGTGTGTGTGTGTGTGTGTGTGTGTGTGTGTGTGTGTGTGTGTGTGTGTGTGTGTGTATGTGTGTGTGTGTGTGTGTGTGTAAATCACGAAGAAATTAATACGTGATGAACAATGGCAGACCACGAAGACAGGATTAAGATAGGAAATTCCTTAAGTACTTTCGTATATTAATACTACATCTTCAGAAGGAGTGACTCCTTCTGAAGATGTATTAATATACGAAAGTACTTAAGGACATTCCTGTTTCAAATTTCCTCCGTGGTCTGACACTGTCACAATTTTAATCACGTGTTTATTTTCGCGATACACACACACACACACACACACACACACACACACACACACACACACACACACACACACACATATATATATATATATATATATATATATATATATATATATATATATATATATATATATATATATATATATATATATATATATATATATATATATATATATATATATATATATATATATAATATAGGGGGGGAGGCGTAAAAGGTGAGCAAGAGAGAGATGTGATAAACAAAACTAAGACCTATATTCCAGCCTTTCTCCTTGGATCTTCAACCATCAGTCCGTCTTCGGAGGTGGAGCAGGGTCGAGTCCTCCTCGAGAGACACCCTGGCTGGATTTTCAAGTTCGAGGGCGACTATCGAAGTTGAGTACGAGGTTGAGGGCGAGGCCACGCTCAAGAAAGAGACCTACGTCGTCAAGGTCATCCCCACTGAAGGTCACATGGCGTAAGTTGTTAGTGGTGTAAGTTATTAGTGGCGTAAGTTATTAGTGGCGTAAGTTGTTAGTGGCGTAAGTTGTTAGTGGTGTAAGTTGTTAGCGGCGTAAGTTGTTAGTGGTGTAAGTTGTTAGTGGTGTAAGTTGTTAGTGGTGTAAGTTGTTAGTGGTGTAAGTTGTTAGTGGCGTAAGTTGTTAGTGGCGTAAGTTGTTAGTGGTGTAAGTTGTTAGTGGCGTAAGTTGTTAGTGGTGTAAGTTGTTAGCGGCGTAAGTTGTTAGTGGTGTAAGTTGTTAGTGGCGTAAGTTGTTAGTGGTGTAAGTTGTTAGCGGCATAAGTCTCCACACAATCAGTATCGTACCATACAGTACAATACACCCTCCACACCCTGTGGAGGGTGTGGAGGGTGTGGAGGGTGAATCAGTGTGAGAGAAATATTTGTAGTAAATATGATGGTAAAAAAATAGGTTGTGAGTCAGAATATTTAACAACCGACGATTCAAGTGTGGGGCCCAAGAGCTAACAAGTCGATCCTGCAGTAAACACTGCAACAGTAAACACTGCAACAGTAAACACTGCAACAGTAAATACTGCAACAGTAAATACTGCAACAGTATGTTGTTGTTTAAGATTCGCTACTTGGAACTTATTGTTCTAAGTAGCACGGGCTATGGTGAGCCCGTACAACAACAGTAAAGTAGATACTGCAATAATAAATACTACACATACGCACACTCGCGCCGGGTCCACCCGGGAAGGACTGACTAAACACCAGACCTTATAACTGTTCGCCCCTGTTCACCCAGCAGTATTCGGTGACTTGGTTGTAAACCAATTAGTGGGTCGTGTTCCAAACAAAAACTAGTAGGGGTAAGCCCTGCCATAAGATATGGAAAGGAGAAGCTCTGCCTGCTAACAAGATTCAGGAACCGTCTACTTTTGTAACATCATGTTAAAAAAAAAAGAGCTTTTTCGTTGAAATCTTGGATTGGCAAAAGACGGAGAGAAGCGTATTTGCAGCGGGAGGCCAGTGACTCTGGCTTAAATGCGAGATTTGCTCAAATATCTTTTCTCTAAACTACATACTACATGTCGAATTGCATATTTCCCAACATACGAAGAAGTCAACAGAAAGCACGTTTCACCCATCGGTAAAAGTCCTGCACAAGGAGGCCTTTTGAGACCAGGAGACATGGCAGGATGTGCAGAAAACTCCCGGTGAAAAACAGAGGTGCAACAGGTACTCTGAGAGAGAACTCTATCAACATCAGAGGCCCGAGACTGTTCAACACGCTTCCACTACACATAAGGGGCATAACTGGCCGACCCCTCACAGTGTTCATGAGAGAACGTGATAAGCACCTCCAAAGGATACCTGATCAACTAGGCTGTGACTCATACGTCAGGCTGCGAGCAGCCGCGTCCAACAGCCTGGTTGACCAGTCCAGCAACGAGGAGGCCTGGTCGAGGAGCGGGCCACAAGGCGTTAAGCATCGGAATCACCACAAGGTAACCACAAGGTAACAGGGTACACAACTCGCCTCATCAATTATGTTTTTCAACGTGACTTAGCAGGTATTACTGTCTCTTCAGGTAGTATTTGTCAGTGACTACTGAGAAGTTGGTCATTACTGCCAGTTATTTAAGAAACGGCTACATCAACAAATACGCACAAAAGGGCATTCAAATCTGCCTAACCCAACCCATTCCAGCCAAATCCAATCCAACCCAACCAAAGCCAGAGCTGACTGCTGGCTTTCCACAAGGGCGCCACGAGGCAGCCTGGCGCTGACTCTGCTGACACATTCACTAAGCGAGGCTCCAAAAGTGTCGGAGTGTGGAGGGTGTAGAGGGCGAGGGCGGGAGACGTGCTGGGTACAATGTTCCCGCCGCTCTCCACACCTCGTCCCCATCCCCCTCTCATTCCCCGCCCCACAGCTCAACGATAAAGAAACTCCTTTACTAATTCACGAGGCTAATTAAGGCACAAAGCTTTTATCCTCCGCTTGGGTAGTTCTTCAGTTTTAATAACTCTTGTTTATTCCCCCAACAAAAGCAGAGGAATTTGTTTTAAAGCTCTAGACCTTTTTTTCCAGTATATGTGAATTCTTAACTCGTATTAGATTAAAAGATGGTGCAAATTTACTAGTTTTTCTAGCTTGTGTATTTTATGATATTAAGTCCACCTGGATAATTAGTCAGCCTGTCAACCTCACCACATTTTCAAAATGAAATATTAGACATGTAATGCAAATATATATTATTGCTACTTATTGTTTAATTCCTTTTCAATGATTTTCGGAGTGATGCTGTCATTCCTCGACAGCTGTCATTCCTTGACAGCTGTCATGCGTTGACAGCTGTCATGCCTTGACAGCTGTCATGCCTTGACAGCTGTCATACCTTGACAGCTGTCAAGTTTCTAAATAATCATCATTTTGTATTCCAAAGACATGTCCAACTTTGCACTAATAATGCTTGTACTAAGTAAGATGGTAACTCCTTGTGGTGTAGGGGTTGGAGAGCCATTACTCGGTCGCCGCGTAAGTGAGAGAGACCCTTGCTAAGGCCCTTGCTAAGGCTGCAGTAAATAAAGACAGTATTGAATGGAATCTTGAGTTATCAAATAGGTCCCTTAAAAGTGTCATTAGACGAGAACTCCTAGATGGATTTGAAGAAAGTAGAACAGTGCAAACTGGAACTAGTAGGTCCATTGTTCATCACAATGAAATGTGTGAAGTAAAACATGTGTATGGGGCAAGTAACAAAGTCAGTAGACTAACAGATGTTGTCACAGCTCGTATAAGACTTGGCTACAAGTATCTCTGGCAGTTCGGCTTGTATAGGGATCTAGATGAAGTAAAGTGTAAAGTGTGTGGACATAGGCAGGGACACACACTCGAACACTATATCTTGGATTGTTGTAAAATTGAGCCTTTTAGAGATAAGTCTAAGCTCACTCTGTATGATATGGCAACCTATCTTATTACCATGGATAAATTACCTGAAATCCTTGCACTGTACCCACATTTTGCTTCCAGTAGATGAACGACATATGAGATTCAGAAACAAGTAGTGTATTGTGAGGACTAATAATAAACAGAAGCTCCCCTATGACTCTGTAATATCCCCATTGGCCAAACTATTATGTATTAACGATAAGACCTACCATTAATATATGGTGACTTACTGTAAATATGTAGCTCTTGTAATAGCACTTTCTCTGTAACTAGCTGACATTGTATCTATAAGGTGTGAAGGATTGAAGAAATTGTTTATGTAATAATCTAAGATGAGGTCTGATAAAGACCTTTTGTGCCCTCTGTAATGCTTTTGCGCTACCGCTCACAGGATGAGTATGGGGTGCACAATAAACTAGCCGCCTTCGGCGGCAACAATAAAAAAAAATAAATGAGAGAGACCCGGGATCGAACCCTGAGCAGAGAAGGACGACTGGGCACCGTTCCTTCCCTGTTCACCCACCATTAATTGGAAAACGGGTTAGAAATGAACGACCGACAGAGAACGACCGACAGAGTTCTTTGAACACCACGACACTGTTAATTCACTAACCGGTTCCCTCAACCGTGACACTGAATCGCTAACCGGTTTCAGCGCTTCACAAAAGGAATACGGTATATTAAAACTAAAATAATGAAGACTAAGCTTATGTAATCTATGTGTATTTTTACAAGACTCTTCGGCCATATTTACACGACTCTGTGTCATATTTACACAACTCCGGGCCACATTTACATGACTCCGGGCCACATTTACACGACTCCGGGCCACATTTACACGACTCCGGGCCACATTTACATGACTCCGGGCCACATTTACACGACTCCGGGCCACATTTACATGACTCCGGGCCACATTTACACGACTCCGGGCCATATTTACATGACTCAGGGCCACATTTACACGACTCCGGGCTACATTTACATGACTCCGGGCCACATTTCCACGACTCCGGGCCACATTTACATGACTCCGGGCCACATTTACATGACTCTGACCCGAATTTACATTAATCCAGCACATATTTACACGAATCATCACCCACTAGCCTCACCAGTAGCACGAATCATCACCCACTAGCCTCACCAGTAGCACGAATCATCACCCACTAGCCTCACCAGTAGCACGAATCATCACCCACTAGCCTCACCAGTAGCACGAATCATCACCCACTAGCCTCACCAGTAGCACGAATCATCACCCACTAGCCTCACCAGTAGCACGAATCATCACCCACTAGCCTCACCAGTAGCACGAATCATCACCACTAGCCTCACCAGTAGCACGAATCATCACCCACTAGCCTCACCAGTAGCACGAATCATCACCCACTAGCCTCACCAGTAGCACGAATCATCACCCACTAGCCTCACCAGTAGCACGAATCATCACCAACTTCACCAACATTCACGTCCTCACTTCCAGGGGCCTGTTGACGTCTGAGGGGATGCACCACGTGGAGGTTGGTCAGTACGGGCGGTTCCTGCGGGCGCTGGGGGCATGGGAGACGGAGAAGCTGGGCGCGGGCGTGGGCGTGGTGGCCGAGATTGTGCCCGCCCACGCCCTCGCTCTCAGCACGCCCCATCACTTCACACTCGTCCTTCCGGAGATCACCAACCTTGGCTACCAGGTGAGTTATTACCAGGTGAGTTATTACCAGGTGAGCCACCGCCAGGTGAGTTATTACCAGGTGAGCCACAACCAGGTGAGCCACAACCAGGTGAGCCACGGCCAGGTGAGCCACGGCCAGGTGAGCCACAGCCAGATGAGCCACAACCAGGTGAGCCCAGGTGAGTTATTACCAGGTGAGCCACCGCCAGGTGAGTTATTACCAGGTGAGCCACCGCCAGGTGAGTTATTACCAGGTGAGCCACCGCCAGGTGAGTTATTACCAGGTGAGCCACCGCCAGGTGAGTTATTACCAGGTGAGCCACCGCCAGGTGAGTTATTACCAGGTGAGCCACCGCCAGGTGAGTTATTACCAGGTGAGCCACCGCCAGGTGAGTTATTACCAGGTGAGCCACCACCAGGTGAGCCACCGCCAGGTGAGTTATTACCAGGTGAGCCACCGCCAGGTGAGTTATTTCCAGGTGAGCCACCGCCAGGTGAGTTATTACCAGGTGAGCCACCACCAGATGAGTTATTACCTGGTGAGCCACCGCCAGGTGAGCCACCGCCAGGTGAGTTATTACCTGATGAGCCACCGCCAGGTGAGCCACCGCCAGGTGAGTTATTACCAGGTGAGCCACCGTCAGGTGAGTTATTACCAGGTGAGCCACCGCCAGGTGAGTTATTACCAGGTGAGCCACCGCCAGGTGAGTTATTACCAGGTGAGCCACCGCCAGGTGAGTTATTACCAGGTGAGCCACCGCCAGGTGAGTTATTACCAGGTGAGCCACCGCCAGGTGAGTTATTACCAGGTGAGCCACCGCCAGGTGAGTTATTACCTGATGAGCCACCGCCAGGTGAGTTATTACCAGGTGAGCCACCGCCAGGTGAGTTATTGAGCCACCGCCAGGTGAGTTATTACCAGGTGAGCCACCGCCAGGTGAGTTATTACCAGGTGAGCCACCGCCAGGTGAGTTATTACCAGGTGAGCCACCGCCAGGTGAGCCACCGCCAGGTGAGTCACCACCAGATGAGTTATTACCAGGTGAGCCACGGCCAGGTGAGTTATTACCAGGTGAGCCACCGCCAGGTGAGTTATTACCAGGTGAGCCACCGCCAGGTGAGTTATTACCAGGTGAGCCACCACCAGGTGAGTTATTACCAGGTGAGCCACCGCCAGGTGAGTTATTACCAGGTGAGCCACCGCCAGGTGAGTTATTACCAGGTGAGCCACCGCCAGGTGAGTTATTACCAGGTGAGCCACCGCCAGGTGAGTTATTACCAGGTGAGCCACCGCCAGGTGAGTTATTACCAGGTGAGCCACCGCCAGGTGAGTTATTACCAGGTGAGCCACCGCCAGGTGAGTTATTACCAGGTGAGCCACCGCCAGGTGAGTTATTACCAGGTGAGCCACCGCCAGGTGAGTTATTACCAGGTGAGCCACCGCCAGGTGAGTTATTACCAGGTGAGCCACCGCCAGGTGAGTTATTACCAGGTGAGCCACCGCCAGGTGAGTTATTACCAGGTGAGCCACCGCCAGGTGAGTTATTACCAGGTGAGCCACCGCCAGGTGAGTTATTACCAGGTGAGCCACCGCCAGGTGAGTTATTACCAGGTGAGCCACCGCCAGGTGAGTTATTACCAGGTGAGCCACCGCCAGGTGAGTTATTACCAGGTGAGCCACCGCCAGATGAGTTATTACCAGGTGAGCCACCGCCAGGTGAGTTATTACCAGGTGAGTTATTACCAGGTGAGCCACCGCCAGGTGAGTTATTACCAGGTGAGCCACCGCCAGGTGAGTTATTACCAGGTGAGCCACCGCCAGGTGAGTTATTACCAGGTGAGCCACCGCCAGATGAGTTATTACCAGGTGAGCCACCGCCAGGTGAGTTATTACCAGGTGAGTTATTACCAGGTGAGTTATTACCAGGTGAGCCACCGCCAGATGAGTTATTACCTGGTGAGCCACCGCCAGGTGAGTTATTACCAGGTGAGCCACCGCCAGGTGAGTTATTACCAGGTGAGCCACCGCCAGGTGAGTTATTACCAGGTGAGCCACCGCCAGGTGAGTTATTACCAGGTGAGCCACCGCCAGGTGAGTTATTACCAGGTGAGCCACCGCCAGGTGAGTTATTACCAGGTGAGCCACCGCCAGGTGAGTTATTACCAGGTGAGCCACCGCCAGGTGAGCCACCGCCAGGTGAGTCACCACCAGGTGAGCCACCGCCAGGTGAGTTATTACCAGGTGAGCCACCGCCAGATGAGTTATTACCTGGTGAGCCACCGCCAGGTGAGTTATTACCAGGTGAGTTATTACCAGGTGAGCCACCACCAGGTGAGTTATTACCAGGTAAGCCACCGCCAGGTGAGCCACCACCAGATGAGTTATTACCTGGTGAGCCACCGCCAGGTGAGTTGTTACCTGGTGAGCCACCGCCAGGTGAGTTATTACCTGATGAGCCACCGCCAGGTGAGTTATTACCAGGTGAGCCACCGCCAGGTGAGTTATTACCTGGCGAGCCACCGCCAGGTGAGTTATTACCAGGTGAGCCACCGCCAGGTGAGCCACCACCAGGTGAGCCTATTAGTAGTAGCATCGTCAGTATCTCCGGGCCAGGCCCCAGGTCAACTCAGCGCTGCTATCGAGACGTAAGTGAAACAATAAAGGTAAATAAGATACCCTTAAAAAGTTAACAATATTGTAAAAAAATACTCTAATTAATTGCCGATTATCAACAACAGTGCATGAAAATTCCCAGTTCCAATATACTAGAACTGGGTAGAAAATCACCTGGAACCAATTTAAGGTAGAGCTAAGTGCCAATTCTGTCATCCCAGGATGACAGTAGGGGTAACTGACCTTAACTGTCTACACAACATGCCCTCGGGAACATTGCCAGTTAGGGGTGGCGCCTGACAGCTGGGTGGACAGCGCTTCGGATTCGTAGTCCTGAGGTTCCGGGTTCGATCCCTGGTGGAGGCGGAGACAAATGGGCAAAATGTTTCTTTCTACCTGATAATCCTGTTACCTAGCAGTAAATAGGTATCTGGGAGTTAGACAGCTGCTATGGGCTGCTTCCTGGGGGTGTGTAACAAAAAGGAGGCCTGGTCGAGGACCGGGCCGCGGGGATGCTAAGCCTCGAAATCATCTCAAGATAGCCTCAAGAAGGGGTGGTGACATGGTCAGGCGGTCAAGAGGGATAAGAGGACGTGTAGCAAGCGAATTGATCTTTGAGATGCAGCTTGATTGACTGATAAGAGATTAAGCCACTCAAGCGGTGGCAGGGGCACGAATAGCCCGTAAGAAGAGGCTGTTTGGGGCCAGTACCAGTAGCTGATACTGTAGAGCTGTGGACGGATCCCCACTCCCTATCTTCATGGTCGGAGGAAGCCAGTCGGCCGAGCGGACAGCACGCTGGACTTGTGATCCTGTGGTCCCGGTCGCCGAAGAGAAACAATGGGCAGAGTTTCTATCACCCTGATGCCCCTGTTACCTAGCAGTAAAATAGGTACCTGGGTGTTAGTCAGCTGTCACGGGCTGTTTCCTGGGGATGGAGGCCTGGTCGAGGACCGGGCCGCGGGGACACTAAAGCCCCGAAATCATCTCAAGATAACCTCAAGATGGTCGCTCGTAGTTTATGTCCTATACGAGGCTTGGCTCTTCAGGCAGGTGACAACATGTTATAAGTGAGATGCAAGTCTTGATCTTATTATATACTCAGACCTTGATAAAGCACTTAGGAGTGTGTGTAAGACTTGGCCTATTTCAGTTATTCCCATAAACTACATATTACATCACGGCTTTTTTATCCATCCAGTCCCGTCATACTCCCAGCAAGCATTTTTTTTTCTACCACAGACGTGGCCACACATTTACAATGCTAATCAGAATATATACATTTTCTTCTGTCCTCCATGGACAGGGTTAGAGAAGTGTTAAACATATAGTTCAGGGCCAGCAAGCATTAGGTAGATTCCCGAAAAAAATGCCAGACCAACCGAGTTACCTGGACTATACCTGGAGATGGTTTCGGGAGTTCTACTCCCCGAGCCCGGCCCGGGGCCAGGCTCGACATTGAGAGTTGTTGTGGGTATGTAGGCCTGCGGGCCGCTGTAAGCAACAGCCTGTTGGACCATGTTATGACAAGTCAAACTTGGCTCCATGTCAGGGTCGCGGAGTAAAACAACTCCCGAAGCCTTCCCCAGGTAAACTCCAGGAATACAGAAATATGCAATGCCTGCGAGAGAAAATTATGAATAAAAGAATGATGACGTTATTCATATTTCGTGTTATTCATCTGTAATTAACAATCGCAAACCTTCAATGGCTTCATTTTAATTGTCAGATGTAAACACCTATTTTATTATTAAATCTGGTGGATACAATTCGGTATTATATGGACATAAATATTCACCATCTTGCACGCTCCCTGCACGGCCGAATGACGTCACGGTTTATCGTTAGCAGGTCGTGTTATGCCCATTACCACTTACAGTGCCTACTCTGATGGCGTCAGTGGCCGGCTCTGGGCTTGATCGGAGCCGGCTGCCTGCTCTGGGCTTGATCGGAGCCGGCTGCCTGCTCTGGGCTAGATCGGAGCCGGCAGCCTGCTCTGGGCTAGATCGGAGCCGGCAGCCTGCTCTGGGCTAGATCGGAGCCGGCCGCCTGCTCTGGGCTAGATCGGAGCCGGCAGCCTGCTCTGGGCTTGATCGTGTTAAGGAGGCCTGGTCACTGACCAGGTCTCTCACGCGGACTTTACTACATCATAAAAGGCATTGTCACATTACTGTGGACGTGCAAGATTATTTGTTCTCGTTAGGTGCCACTGATTAACCGAGCAGGGGAGAGAGAGAGAGAGAGAGAGAGAGAGAGAGAGAGAGAGAGAGAGAGAGAGAGAGAGAGAGAGAGAGAGAGAGAGAGAGAGAGAGAGAGAGAGAGAGAGAGAGAGACAGAAAACGAACGAACCAATCAGGCGTTCGAACACACCAGAGCTGGTATCCAATATTTAATTACATCTGGGAACTTAGACTAGGCTACTCAGAGCAGTATGGAAATTCCAGATGCATCGTTTAAAACCAATTGTTGGCTTATTGTGCGTTGTTATATCAATTATATGCTTCAGATTCATGCGAGGATACCAAGCATTTATGTTCTTCATATAATCCCCAAGGAACTAATTACGTTTGGATTATAAGGGATTACTAATATAATCCCAACTTGGACCCAAATGAGGCTGTGTGTTTATGGGACGTAAATTGTGCTGCCCGGATTAGGAGAAGAGTAAATAACCGATATTTTGTAATGAATACACGGGTTTTTATTACTATTTCTGGTAAGCTCTTCAGTATGTTGACCACTCGATCAAAAAGCTGTTAGCTTTATTGGAATAAAATATTAAAATATTTTGTTTGGAATACTTCTAGCAAGTCACTTTTCACATCTTGACTTGCAAGACTACACTATAAGTCTCGTCTTATTCCTTGTCCTACAACACAAAAATCACTTCATCTTAACTAATGTCTCAAGAATTATTTCTTGGTTTGGGTATCGTCATTGTCCCTGAACACCTTCCAATATGGAAATATCCTCAAAACTGCAATACTTAAGATATGACTTACAATACTGCACGTGTTCCTCATCATTTACTATCATCCGCTCCATAGTGTTCATGCAGTTACCACTTTATTCTGTGTTTCCAATATGTATAACTTTGTATTTATCAACACTGAAACTCATTTAACAATTATTAGTCCAACTTGCCATGTTGGCTGGTAATCTCTGAGGCTTGAGGAGTGTGTGGTGACTTAGCTCCTTAGTTTAGTGTCATGGTTAAATTTTTGTATTGTACACCATAAAATTGTATTTATGTTACGCAAATCAAGAATAGAACTGATGCCAAGAATGACCCTTGTGGTAGGCTGCTCGTTGTATCTGGCTGATTCATTTACGTTAAAACTACTCGGGGTTTGAGAACAGATTGGAAGCACTCTAGACGTGCAAGATCACTCCAGGAACCTGGAGTGGATTCTGGGAATTTTTCCTGGCCCCAAGTCTTCCCACTCCATACCCCACCAAATTCCCTCTCTTCCCCTCTCACCGTTTTCCCCCCCATACCAGGCGAGTCAAATGTCCCTACCTTTTATCTTAGAGGAGACAGGTTTGAACATAATTTATCAGTTTCTGTAAACATTGCTCCGATGTGTCGCAGACTCGGGTGGTCCACTACAGAGGCGCCTTGTCCCTTTGGAATAGCTGGGGAGAGGCCCGACATGAGATAACTTCGTGCAACAGGCTGTTGCTCGGAGCGGCCCTCAGGCCCACAAGCACTCCAGCCATCATTAACAAAGCTGTCAACAGCAGGGACCTTCTGAAAGATTTCTTTACTAAAGAACCTCATGTCCATTTCCTGTTCTCGCATTATATTTAACAAATATATAAACAAAATTAATTTATATTTTAGAAATAATTTATCATGACTACTTGTAGGGAACTTTTAATTACCTTGTGACCCTGTAAGTGATGTTCTGTTTGATGTAATATTTACTTTAGTAAGTCTTTAGGAATTATTAATCGCGGAGATGCTCAACACCCGAGCCGCTACTTGCCAACTTTAAGGTTTCTAAAACAATGAAATTCTGACAACCAAGAAAAGTAGTTTACCTCTATATCAGGCATTATAAACATCACAACATCTGCATGTTCTCAGACATGTGTCACTCAGTACTGAACGTTGAAGTATAGCAAATATTTCTTACTTTCAGTAATGTTATTACGGTAAACATCTCCAAGAAAATGCTAAATAAATATCAGTATTCATACGGTACATCTAATGATTCTCACTACGTCATCTAAGTTATCACCCACCACTATATCACACACACTCTTCACCAGTTCTCAGAAAGCCTGAAGGGCATCATCACCCTCTTCACCTGACCACCTACACACTAGGTGGTCAGGTGAAATGCAAAAACGTAAGTATAGTCGTTTCCAGCTGTGCACACTTGCAGATTCATAGCGTGGTGGAGGGCTTGGGGGAGGCGCAGGTGGTGGCCGTGGCAAGCAAGATGGGTCGATTCCACGGGACGACGGTGTCCTACAAGGTGCTTACCGGCGCTAACCTCCAAACTGATTTCCCCAAGTGCTTCCATCAGGGAAATATCGACAGTCCCGTGTTCTCCGTGTTCGCCAGGGCAGGCTTTGAGAGGTAAGCTGACCAGACCACACACTAGAAGGTGAAGGGACGACGACGTTTCGGTCCGTCCTCGACCATTCTCAAGTCGATTATGGATTCTTACCTCTTTGAGAGGTAAGAGACATGGTGGGGAAGGAAGGTTAGATACATGGTGGGGAGGGAAGGTAAGAGACACGGTGGGGAAGGAAGATAAGATAGTTAGTAGGAGAAAACGCTAAGCCAGATGACTATACAGCTCTTGTAAGGGACTTGATGAAAAGGGCTGGGAAATGGGATACAAGTGAAGGAACAGTGCTAAATCACCTGGAGCACACGGGGGATCGAACGCTTACCTGCATGAAGCGAGGCCATGTATACTAGTCGCTGCATACATCGGTCCAAGTTTGAGTTTGGGGCCGAGAGAGAAAGGCAGCAAGGAGGTGGTATAACAAGTTATAATTGAGTTATTACTGCCGGAGGTGTGTGATATTCCAGGCTACGAGAGGAGTGGTCGAGAGACGCTAGCCGGAGACACTTGCTGGAGCTGCTGGAGCCATACGAGGCCATCTTCGCGGAGTTCGTCATCGCCAGCCTTAAGCCTGAAGAGCCCTTCGCCACCGCTCTACACGGCGACCTTCAGCCCAGCAACATCTTCTTCAAGCACGATGCCCAGGGCCAACTTACAATCAAGGTAATCTTCACCATTTTGCATTCTAAAATTTTCTGCTATATAATTAGCTAAAACAGTGATTAGTAGTTTTCATTACTTGAGGGCATATGCATGTGTTTGTCAGATTAGCAGTGTCATGTGTCCTAAGTGGAATAGGTGAGTGTTAAGTGACCTAAGTGAAATAGGTGAGTGTTAAGTGACCTAAGTGAAATAGGTGAGTGTTAAGTACCTAAGTGAAATAGGTGTGTGTTAAGTGACCTAAGTGACTTGTGTTATCAAGTCATTAAGTCTCTGGAAACTATTTTGGACACATGATGTAGTGGGCAAATAGCAAGTACAGTGTAACACGGGGAGGGTGTTCTCGTCTTATCTTTCCTTTCTTTTCTACTAGCTCCTGTAACTCCCTGTACTAGCTCCTGTTAACACTCACTGTACAAGCTCCTGTTAACACTGTACAAGCTCCTGTTAACACTGTACAAGCTCCTGTTAACGCTCACTGTACAAGCTCCTGTTAACACTGTACAAGCTCCTGTTAACACTCACTGTACAAGCTCCTGTTAACACTCACTGTACAAGCTCCTGTTAACACTGTACAAGCTCCTGTTAACACTCACTGTACAAGCTCCTGTTAACACTCACTGTACAAGCTCCTGTTAACACTGTACAAGCTCCTGTTAACGCTCACTGTACAAGCTCCTGTTAACACTCACTGTACAAGCTCCTGTTAACACTGTACAAGCTCCTGTTAACACTCACTGTACAAGCTCCTGTTAACACTCACTGTACAAGCTCCTGTTAACACTCACTGTACAAGCTCCTGTTAACACTCACTGTACAAGCTCCTGTTAACACTCACTGTACAAGCTCCTGTTAACGCTCACTGTACAAGCTCCTGTTAACACTCACTGTACAAGCTCCTGTTAACACTCACTGTACAAGCTCCTGTTAACACTGTACTAGCTCCTGTTAACACTGTACTAGCTCCTGTTAACACTCACTGTACAAGCTCCTGTTAACACTGTACTAGCTCCTGTTAACGCTCACTGTACAAGCTCCTGTTAACACTCACTGTACAAGCTCCTGTTAACACTGTACTAGCTCCTGTTAACACTGTACAAGCTCCTGTTAACACTCACTGTACAAGCTCCAGTTAACACTGTACTAGCTCCTGTTAACGCTCACTGTACAAGCTGCTGTTAACACTCACTGTACTAGCTCCTGATAACACTCACTGTACAAGCTCCTGTTAACACTCACTGTACAAGCTCCTGTTAACACTCACTGTACTAGCTCCTGTTAACACTCACTGTACAAGCTCCTGTTAACACTCACTGTACAAGCTCCTGTTAACACTCACTGTACAAGCTCCTGTTAACACTCACTGTACTAGCTCCTGTTAACACTCACTGTACAAGCTCCTGTTAACACTCACTGTACAAGCTCCTATTAACACTCACTGTACTAGCTCCTGTTAACACTCACTGTACTAGCTCCTGTTAACACTCACTGTACAAGCTCCTGTTAACACTGTACTAGCTCCTGTTAACACTGTACTAGCTCCTGTTAACACTCACTGTACAAGCTCCTGTTAACACTGTACTAGCTCCTGTTAACACTGTACTAGCTCCTGTTAACACTCACTGTACAAGCTCCTGTTAACACTGTACTAGCTCCTGTTAACACTCACTGTACTAGCTCCTGTTAACACTCACTGTACAAGCTCCTGTTAACACTCACTGTACTAACTCCTGTTAACACTCACTGTACAAGGTCCTGTTAACACTCACTGTACAAGGTCCTGTTAACACTCACTGTACTAGCTCCTGTTAACACTCACTGTACTAGCTCCTGTTAACACTGTACTAGCTCCTGTTAACGCCCACTGTACTAGCTCCTGTTAACGCCCACTGTACTAGCTCCTGTTAACGCCCACTGTACTAGCTCCTGTTAACACTGTACTAGCTCCTGTTAACGCCCACTGTACAAGCTCCTGTTAAGATGGGTATGAAGAGAACACACTTCTGTTGTCTTCGTAACCATCTAAGAGTTGCCCCAGTGGCAGTTATGACGTCAGTTTGTTGCTTAATTATATACCAAGTTATGCCAAGATATGCTAATGGTATACTACAGGTATACTCCAGGTATACTCCGGGTCTTTGGCATTCTCTTTATATACCTGAAGTTATTTTTCCCCGCAAGGGGATCAAATTCAGTGTGGCCAGTAGGCAAGAAGATAGCGGCAAGAAGATAGCGATTTAATATGAGCCTGAACGTGGAGTGGCAAATCGCAGTCTGAGGGGATGCACGGCCAAGCTTTAAATGAACTGTGGTAAGGACAGCTTTAAGCTTGCAGACAAGCAGCAGGTCAAGTTCCTGGCCCCGCTCCCTCCAGTGTTAATAACAAATAAGCTTAACTCCCCTGAGATGAGCCGTAACAAGGGAAACCCAGCCCCAGGAACGTATGAACCCAAGCAACCTACCTAACCCATCGAGGCCGATGTATAGAAAACGTCAATATTAACATGTTATAATGTTAATATTGACATTAAAATACGTTGCATTTGTGACGTATTAGGTGAGTTTTCTCAACCAGTCGTAGGAACATTATAAATAACTTCTACAATTGCGTGCGCGTGTGTACTCATCACCCAATACCCGCCTAGTTGTGCTTCCGGGGGTTGAGCTTCAGTTCTTTGGTCCCGCCTATCAACTGTCAATCAACTGGTGTACAGATTCCTGAACCCATTGGGGGTCTATCATATCTACATTTGAAGCTGTGTATGGAGTCAGCCTCCACCACATCACTGCTTAATTCATTCCATCTGTTAACTACTCTGACACTGAAAAAGTTCCTTCTAACATCCCTGTGGCTCATTTGGGGGACTAGGTTTTCACCTGTGTCCCCTTGTTCGTGTTGTTGTTGTTATAGATTCAGCTACTCGGAACAAGTTCCAAGTAGCACGGGCTATGGTGAGCCCGTAACTTACCTGGCACAGGAGCGGGGCATGAAGCACGGGCTATAGTAGCCTTGTTCGCGTACCACCCGTGTTAAATAGTTTATCTTCATCTACCCTGTCAATTCATCTGAGAATTTTATAGGTGGTGATGTGTGCACGCACCTACTGAACCCACTGGTTCTTGCTAAGATGGAAGGCTGCCCAGACTTCCAATCTTCGATCACCACCAGTATTTGACAAGTATTGGAAGGGAATAACCAGAGGGAATTGTGCCTCGGAGAGGCTGCAGGATCCAATATGTTCAGTAGAACTTCGGTTTCAACTCCTTTTGCCCATGTCGTAGCTCAGTCGATTAAGGGAGCGTCTGGGATGCTCTCGGACGCAGGTTCGAATCCTCGTCCCGGCCCTTGTGGACTTGTTCACCAGAGGGAATATTGTCAGTTCTCAATAGTTATTGTCTGTGTGCCTCTCGGTAATATACCGAGAGGTACAGACCGCCTCAAGAAATGTAGACTGTTGAAAACAGAGAAATGGAAATAGAACTGAAAACCCTGATGAGCCATAAGGTCATAGTGAAGAATAGAGTACGGGCAGTGAGCACACAAAATGAAATAAAGGAATTGGGATGATGATTGATTGATGAAGATTAAGCCACCCAAAAGGTGGCACGGGCATGAATAGCCCGTAAGTGGTGGCCCTTTTGAGCCATTACCAGTATCAAGAACTGATACTGGAGATCTGTGGAGGTGCGACTGCACCCTGCGTGACGGGAGATGTCTCCCGTGAATGGAATTGGGAGAACTGGATGAACTGGGGGAACTAGAGGATGAACTAGGGGATGAACTGGATGAACTGTAGTAGTCCAGTATGTTGTGTACTGGAGTACAATGTACTATACAATAGTCCAGTATGTTGTGTACTGGAGTACAATGTACTATACAATAGTCCAGTATGTTGTGTACTGGAGTACAATGTACTATACAATAGTCCAGTATGTTGTGTACTGGAGTACAATGTACAATAGTACTCCTTGATATCGAGCACTGGAGGACAATACACAGCGATTTACCCCACAAATAAAACATTTCCTTTACACACGGTAAAGGAAATGTACACACAACAAATTGGCAGTTACCAGAGCAAGACCATATGTTGCAAAACTATTTTTAAGGCAAGCACAACAGTTTTTAAGGTAAGTAAGACAGTTTTTAAGGTAAGTAAGACAGTTTTTAAGGTAACCAAGACAGTTTTTAAGGCAAGCAAAACAGTTTTTAAGGTAAGTAAGACAGTTTTTAAGGTAAGCAAAACAGTTTTTAAGGTAAGTAAGACAGTTTTTAAGGTAACCAAGACAGTTTTTAAGGTAAGCACAACACTTCCCATGGGTTATATTACAACCTATTGCGGTATGTCTTCACCAGTTAGGTACTCCTGCAGCCCTTTCTTGTTTAGGGCAGCCATGGTCCCGTTGGTAGAGCGACATATTCGTACTTTTGAGACACGAGTTCGAATCACCGACGATCCAACTGAATGTATAAAGTTGATCTTGGTCGAATAGTTGTTTATCAACAGCGTAACAATGATAATACAACGTATAATGTCTTTTTGATAATTCAATGTGCACTTAAAAATATTAATTAAAAAAAACAGGATTTAGCACGTTTTCTATGCGCGCAGAAAATGCTTTTCACATGCAAATCAAAGCAGCAGAGCGGAGTAATTAAATAACACGGGCGGGGATGCAATTACTTTGAGCGGCTGGCGGCTCGTATGCACTGTATATAATACAGTCTGCTCTCTCCAGTTCCTATTCCATACTGGTTTGCCTCAACAGAAGCGCACGAACCCACACAACCCACTTAATCAATCGAGGTCGATGTGTGGGAAACGTGAATTTTAAGGTGCTTCAGTTTTTAATAAAACGTGGTATTATTAACGGCCAGAATAGTTTCAGCATATTTAATTAAGATATCAGTAGTACTATAGCTGATGATTATATTACTACTATTATTACTACTAATAATAGTAATAATTATACTAATAATTCTAATTTTTTTCAAGGATCTTTTATTTCAGCGAAAAAATACAAGTTTCCGTACAAGAGCCAATGTCACTCATACTTCAATATATTGTGGTGATTGTATACTCAAAACTGTGTGAACAATTTTAAATACCAATTCATTAAACAAAATCGCAAGACAGTTATTCAAACTGAGTCGACGCAGAGTAGATACTTTGTCAATATCTGCTCCATTGTTCGCTCTCCCACATGTCAGCGATATCTATGTATCTATCTCTCTCTCCCTCTTTCTCTCCACATTTACGTTTTATTCTACATACCTATATGTATACTTTCCTTAATGTATCTCATCCGAGTATTTATGCAAGTATTTCCGATAACTGCAGTACATAGAGGCCATCTGTATATTATATAATGGTGTCAGTCTTAGGGTAAACACCCTAAGACTGACACCTGTGGCATCAGAGACGTGTCATAAGGCCTTCGTTTCCTCCTCCGAGCACAGCTGATTGACTGGGCCACGGCGCGGTACTCACAGGGACCCATAGACCTCGTGTACCTCCTCAACATCGGCGTGGACCCGGAGGTCAGGAGGAAGGTCACCCTCGAGGCTAAAGAAGCCTACTTCGAAGCGTTCAATGCATCGCTCGCTGACCTCAAGGCCAATATGTCATACCCGAGGTGAGTATAACAGAGTATATATTGTCAGGGATACTCGTAATGTGTACGAATATAACGTTTTCGTTAATCACATATAATATATTCCAAACAGAAGTTTAATATATAAGTCATTAGATACAAAGTTTCGCGACTGAAGAATGAATAAAAGGAAATGTAGATTAATCAAAAATGTGTTTTTTAATAAGGAGAAGTTTAATGTTGTATAGAAGATGCCATAAGAGTTCTCGACCACCACCACCTTCCTAGCTACGGGCTCACCATAGCCCGTGCTGCTTGGAGCTTTTTGTTCCAAGTAGCGGATCTTTAACAACAACAACAACAACAACCTTCCTTCTAAAGCCTTTACTTGGACAACAATAAATCTAACATCTTCATAGGCATCCCGCCCCCCTATCCTACCGTCCATTGTGATTCCTGAAGTGTTCTGTCCCTCCCTTCCCCTATCTTACCGTCCCCTATCCTTCTTGCATCCTTCTCTCTCCAATCCGTGTGTTCTTCACTTGGGTTTTCTTCCATCTACTTTCCTTAAAAAAAAATTCCCTCCCTTTCCTCTTTTTTTAATGCTTTCCTTTCACATCTACTCATAACCTTCTCCTCCTCTACCCCCGAGAGGAAGGGGGCGGTGGAAGAGCAGACAAAACCTCACCCCTCACACCATCAATTTTCTCCTATCCCTTAATTATTATCACATCTAATAAAATCTCGTCTCTTCCCTTTCCCAGTTCAATGAATTTTTAACTTTCTGCTCCTCTCCTTTTTGGGGGTTTGTTCCACCCCTCCTGGTCGAGGACCGGGCCGCGGGGACGCTAAGCCCCGAAATCATCTCAAGATAACCTCCCCCTCTTCCTCCTCCCCCAAACATGCATCTGGATATAGATACGAGATCAATCTGACTGCTTTCAGTAACTACCGATACAAGGGAACTAACTCATCACCTGGAATATGTCTCCAAGCGTGAAGAAAATTCCTGCTTTTTTGTGTACTGGTTCAGTGTAGAGAGGAGTCAGTGTGTTGAGTCAGTGTAGAGAAGTTAGCGTAGTGAGTAGGTAACGTGAGGAGTTAGTGTGGTGGGCCAGTATGGTGGGGCAGTGGGGTGGGCCAGTGTGGTGGGTCAGTGTGGTGGGCCAGTGTGTTGGGCCAGTGTGGTGGGCCAGTGTTGTGGGCCAGTGTGGTGGGTCGGTATGGTGGGCCAGTGTGGTGGGCCAGTGTGGTGGACCAGTGTGATGGGTCAGTGTGGTGGGTCAGTATGGTGGACCAGTGTGGTGGGCCAGTGTGGTGGGTCAGTATGGTGGGGCAGTGGGGTGGGCCAGTGTGGTGGGTCAGTGTGGTGGGCCAGTGTGTTGGGCCAGTGTGGTGGGCCAGTGTGGTGGGCCAGTGTGGTGGGTCGGTATGGTGGGCCAGTGTGGTGGGCCAGTGTGGTGGACCAGTGTGATGGGTCAGTGTGGTGGGTCAGTGTGGTGGGCCAGTATGGTGGGCCAGTGTGGTGGGCCAGTGTGATGGGTCAGTATGGTGGGCCAGTTGAGTGGGCCAGTGTGGTGGGTCAGTGTGGTGGGCCAGTGTGGTGGGCCAGTATGGTGGGTCAGTGTGGTGGGCCAGTGTGGTGGGGCAGTGTGGTGGGCCAGTATGGTGGGCCAGTGTGTGGTGGGCCAGTATGGTGGATCAGTGTGGTGGGCCAGTGTGGTGGGCCAGTGTGGTGGGCCAGTATGATGGGCCAGTGTGGTGGGCCAGTGTGGTGGGCCAGTATGGTGGGTCAGTGTGGTGGGTCAGTGTGGTGGGCCAGTATGGTGGGCCAGTGTGTTGTGTCAGTGTGGTGGGCCAGTATGGTGGATCAGTGTGGAGGGCCAGTGTGGTGGGTCAGTGTGGTGGGCCAATATGGTGAGCCAGTGTGGTGGGCCAGTATGGTGGGTCAGTGTGGTGGGCCAGTGTGGTGGGTCAGTGTGGTGGGCCAGTATGGTAGGCCAGTGTGGTGGGCCAGTATGGTAGGCCAGTGTGGTGGGCCAGTGTGGTGGGCCAGTGTGGTGGGTCAGTGTGGTGGGCCAGTATGGTGGGCCAGTGTGGTGGGCCAGTATGGTGGGCCAGTGTGGTGGGCTAGTGTGGTGGGCCAGTGTGGTGGGTCAGTGTGGTGGGCCAGTATGGTGGGCCAGTGTGGTGGGCCAGTATGGTGGGCCAGTGTAGTGGGTCAGTATGGTGGGCCAGTATGGTGGGCCAGTATGGTGGGCCAGTGTAGTGGGCCAGTGTAGTGGGCCAGTATGGTGGGTCAGTGTAGTGGGCCAGTATGGTGGGCCAGTGTAGTGAGCCAGTGTGGTGGGCCAGTATGGTGGGCCAGTGTAGTGGGTCAGTATGGTGGGCCAGTGTAGTGAGCCAGTGTGGTGGGCCAGTATGGTGGGCCAGTGTAGTGGGTCAGTATGGTGGGCCAGTGTAGTGAGCCAGTGTGGTGGGCCAGTATGGTGGGCCAGTGTAGTGGGTCAGTATGGTGGGCCAGTGTAGTGAGCCAGTGTGGTGAGCCAGTATGGTGGGCCAGTGTAGTGGGTCAGTATGGTGGGCCAGTGTAGTGAGCCAGTGTGGTGGGCCAGTATGGTGGGCCAGTGTAGTGGGTCAGTGTGGTGAGCCAGTGTGGTGAGCCAGTGTGGTGAGCCAGTGTGGTGGGCCAGTGTGGTGAGCCAGTGTGGTGGGTGTGTTGTCGAGTCGGAAAGAAACCCGAAACCCGGTTTCAATTTACCTTAATTCGGTAAATTGTACCAGCCGAAGATATTGCTGGAGTGGGCAGGTGATTGTCTGCTCCTGAGGTGAGAAAGTGATTGTTTGGTCTTGAGGTGGCCAGATGATTGTTATGTTCTGAGATGGGCGGGTTATTGTTTGGTTGTGAGGTGGGGGCAGGTGATAGCTTCGTCCCTGAAGTGAGCATCATAACTACGCCTTAATGTTACCCTAATAAGACCAGACTTACTTCCCACGTGGCACCGTTCTTATTATTTGTTTGAGAGGTAAGGCAGGTGGTGGTGGTTCTTCTGTTTGGTTATTGCATTGCCGGGAGCACCCATGAGTGTGCCCACCTCGCCTCCGCATCCTGTTGTACTCCATAAATATTAAATTTACATTTTAATAACCTAGCAAGGAAGTAATTGTATTGTCTTGACCCAAGTACATAATTTCTCTTTCCTGATCTAAGGACTATTTTTTCCTGGGTCTTGGAACGGAATTGTATGTCGTTGGCAAAGAAAATGATTAATTTTGACCAAGAAAATGGTCAAAAGACTTGGGAGAAATGAATTGTTTTGTGGTAATTCACTTTGACACCGACAGGGACTTGTTCGAGGAGCAGTTCGCCAGGTGCCGGCAGATGATGGTAGTGTGGAGTGTCATGTGCTTCAATATATTCTTCTCTACTCCTCACTTGATGGACCGCCTCGTTGGCATCATCTCCGACGTCCTCCTCGACCCCAGCATCAGTCCCCCGACCCTCCCGCCCTCCGCCGCCCACCCAACCCACTCGCCCTCCACCTGAGAACTCCGAAGTCATGTGCAGCCACTTCGAGTCCTCGGTTACTATCTATCACCGCCTGGGAGTTTGAGGGCTGCTAATCCACTGGCGTTTTATAGGGTAGCTAAACCCCTAAAGACCCACAGGGTACCTAAACCTCCCACAGAACCACAGGGTAGCTAAACCCCCCACAGAACCACAGGCTAGCTAAACCCCCCACAGACTCACAGGGTACCTAAACCCCCCACAGACCCACAGGGTAGCTAAACCCCCCACAGAACCACAGGCTAGCTAAACCCCCCACAGACTCACAGGGTACCTAAACCCCCCACAGACCCACAGGGTAGCTAAACCCCCCACAGACCCACAGGGGTAGCTAAACCTCTCACAGAACCACAGGGTACCTAAACCCCCACAGACCCACAGGGGTACTAAACCCCCGGGAGTCTAGAGTTTAACATTGTAATTAAACCAGCACGAGCCTAATTCCACCGTCCAGGACAATTACACGACAATCCTTAGGATTAACTTTTTACTCTTTGTGAATCACCTTAAGTGGTGGTGGTGCTGTGGCCTAGCAACACACCTGCCAGTTATGGCGTCTGTAGCAGGTGTAGGAGCAGCTATGGCCTCGCTACACACCTGCCAGCTATGGCGTCTGTAGCAGGTGTAGGAGCAGCTACGTGTCCAGCATAGATACTCAACGGTGTTTATCTCAAAATACCAATGAATCTTTTGACCATTCTTTTGTTTTACGTTTTTGAATATATATATATATATATATATTGGACATTTCTTCCATAGTCTTTTATATAATTGTGAAGACGTAATTTTGGAGGGAAGAGCAGGCTCAATCTCTTGAAGGAGATTATCGTCACAACTCTCCCCCGAAGCCTGCGGTTCTGGAAGAAGTACGTCGTTATGTGGTGGAGTAATGGATGGAGTCGCTTCTACTTCATAAACTCTGGAGAGATCATGGGCTAAGATGTTGTCAGACTCTTGGTATAGCGTGTCTCCAGGTTGAATTTCTGCAGGTAGCAAGCCCATAGTAGAAGACGTTGAGATGAGAAGTGGGCGTGCTGCAGGTGTAGGGTGGTGTGGTCCGTATTGATGGTGGACCGAGCACTTTTCAGGTGTGGAGTGAAGTGCTGAAGCTTCAGGATGAGGAAGAGTAGCTCCTTGCCAATTGTTCCGTAGATCCTTGTAGCAGTAGTCGCTGACAGGTGTATTCTTCTCGCCTCGTTGCTGCATCACGACACCACCCACGTCGGTACCATTGGCGTCGACATGGAGGATGAAGGGCTTATCTGACGAGGTGAGAGTGGAATTAGAAGAGGGCATAGGAGCACGATTATTATCCTGAAAGCATTTGGGAAGATCATTAAGGATTTTGGAATTAGAAAGCGCCGACTCCTTGTCAGTGCTTTCGGGAGAAGAAGCCGGGATGGTCTCACTGTGGATGTAGGGTTCTGTGAAGGTAGAACAATTAATCAAGACAGTGGGAGGAGTACCATTATATTGCTTCAGGAGGTTGACGTGGCACAGCTGGGTCTTCCGCCGCCTATCTGGAGTCTCTATGACGTATGTGTTGTTGCTTCTGCACTCTTTGACGCAGTAGGGTCCTGAAAATCTGTTTTGTAAAGGTGAACCTGGGATAGGGAAATAAGCAAGGACGAAGTCTCCCGGCTTGAATTTTCTTACTTTGCTGGTCTGGTCGTAATGAGTCTTCATTCTCACCTGGGCTTTCAATAGATTATCATGAGCAAAGCGGTGGACTCTCTCTAGAATGTGTTGAAGGTTTTGAAGAAACTGGGGCACATTCTGATGCTCACTGAAGGTGGCATCTCTGAGAGAGTCTTTGAAAGCCTTAAGGGGAGTACGGCACTTACGGCCGTAGAGCATCTCATAAGGAGATACTCCTAGGGACTCATTGGGGAGACTTCTGAAAATACACATTATTAGGTCAATCTGCTTATCCCAATCCTTTGAGGTTTCACTACAAAACTTTTTCAAGAGTGCTTTGATGGTCTGATGACTACGTTCAAGAGAACCCTGTGAAGCAGGATGATAGGGGCTGGACAATACCTGTTTGATGTTGAACTCCTCCAGTGTCCTTTTGAAGAGATCACTGGTGAAGTTGGTGCCACAGTCACTTTGAATCTCCCTGGGAAATCCGTATTGAGTGAAGATCTTCAATAGATGTTTGATAACCGTAGCAGCCGTGATGTTCTTCACTGGAACTGCTATGGGAAATCTGGTGGTAGGACACAGGATGGTTAGGATGTAGGCGTTACCTGAACTGGTCCGAGGTAAAGGACCAACACAGTCTATTATGAGTCTGTGGAAAGGTTCCGCAGGCACCTGTATGGGAATTAGTGGTGTTCTGGGAATGGAGACGTTCGGTTTGCCTGCCATCTGACATGTATGACACTGTTTTACGTACTGTTTGACGTTATTTACCATACCTGGCCAGTAGTAGTCTTGACGAATCCCATGGTAAGTCTTGTTGAAGCCGTAGTGGGAGAATGCTCCATGGGCCAGGTGTAGAATAGTGGGCCGCAGGCTGGTGGGAATCACAAGTTGTTCGATGTTGGCCCAATCGTCCTCCTCCTTCAGTTTACTGGGTCTATATCTGCGGTAGAGCAAGTCGTTCTCTAGGAAGAACCCAGGAATACTGTCGGGTTGAGTCTCAGCCTGGAAAAACAATGGTGTTAAAGTAAGATCTTCCCTCTGCAACTTACGGAACTCCAACTTGGTCAGATGCGGGGGTAGTTTCTGAGGGTCTTGAGGGACAGCGGTAGCAGTAGAGTCAGCTGGCTGTGGACGTGCGGCTTGTGCACGGGTGGTCACGAGAACCGGAGGAGAAACTTCATCACTCTCTTGAACCTCTGCTGGAACATACTCGAGAATAGGATTTATGGGCACAGAGTTACACACCTGGGTTTGTCCATGACGATCAGGTTGGTCGGTTGCAGGTCTTCTGCCAAGTCGTTGCCTAGGAGAAGTTGCACTCCAGGCATGGGAAAAGGCTTTTCCCTGACGGCGACTTGGACTTCCCCGTTCACGTAGGGACAATTCAGGTGGACTCTGGCGAGAGGGTATGGAGTGGTAGCAGTGAGGTCAGTGATGAAGACTGTTTCCCCGGTGTAGACTATGTTGGGCACAGCCGACTTCAAGATGATCGATTGTAGAGCCGCTGTGTCCCTCAAGATCTTCAATTTGAAACGTCCCTCCGGATTTGAACCGTTGGCAGAGACAGTTCCAGTATACAGGTGGTTACTGAAAAGAGAAAGATCATTAACATCAACACCAACATTCATCACAGGCTTACCGGACTTAGGAGGAGTTGGTTTGGGTCGTTGTTGGTCAGTGGTTCCCTTGTATTGAGACTTACCACACTTGTCTATGGTATGTCCATAGAGTCTACAATATTTGCAGTACAGTTGTGAACCAGCTTGATCGGGGCTCACCTTCTCGTAACTGTACCACGACTTCTTACTGGAGGATGGTTCAGGTGTCAGCCGGTGGATGAGGCTGTAAGTGTCAGCCGACTTAGCACACTTCAGGTAGTCGGTTTCTTCTTTATCTGCTAAGTAGAGGCGGACAGGAGGCGGCACACGTCTCAAGAATTCTTCAACAAGCATCAGGTTCACGAGTTCTGTAAAAGTAGAGACATGTGCTGCTTCCAGCCATTTCATGAAATACCTCCGTTTCGTGTTAGCAAACTCGAGGAAGGTAGTGGTACTTGCCTTCAGGTGGTCACGGAATTTCCTTCTATAACTTTCGGTGGAAAGTAGGTAGGCGTCTAACACTGCTTGTTTCAGAGTGTAGTAGTCATTCTCAGACGCCAAAGTACTGAGTGTGACTGCAGCTCTACCTGTAAGATGGACTCTGAGAAGTGTTGCCCATTGGTCGACAGGCCAACTGAGTTGATTAGCAAGGGTTTCAAAGGTGGTAAAGAACACATCAACTTCTGCTTCTACAAAGGATGGCATTAACTTACTTGCATGTGATATATTAAAACTGACGGGAAGATTGGCAGTAGCTTGTTGGCGTTGAGTGAAGTGTGAAGTTTCCAAGGCGATTTCACGTTGACGACACTCTAGAGCCAGAGTTGCTTGTTGCTTGTCATGTTCGCGTTGTATTTCCAACTCGCGTTGTTTGGTTTCAAGCTGTAAGCGTTCCCGCTCCTGGAGTGTTTCAAGCTGTACTCGTTCACGTTCACGGAGTAATGCGACCTCACGTTCGTGTTCTTCTCTCCTCAAAGCAGCTTCACGTTCTCTGAGGGTGATTTCTCGTTCTTGTTCTTCCCTCCTCAAAGCAGCTTCGCGTTCTTGTTCTTCTCTTCGTATGGCAGCTGCTTCTCTTTGCTGCTCACGTTCAATCTTGGCCAGCTCTAGTTTAAGTTTCATCGTAGCCAAGTCAGTTTTCTCTGCAATATAGTAAGTTTCATGAGTTTCAGAGTCTATCTTACCTTGCTCTAAATAGTAATCCAGCAACAGGTTGTGTAGGTCATTTTTGTTGGCTTGGTAGGGAACTTCTAGTTGATACTCATGTGCAAGAGTTTGTAGTTCAGTCCTCTTGGCACGACTTAAAGTCCCTATTTCACCTGCTGGATTTGCACGGAAAGTTTGGAGACGAAACATGGTGAAATTAGCAAATAAAGGTACACGAATGTTCAATAATGAAATGTCAGAAACAGGACAACGTGGCAACTGGTACCTATCCTGTGTGATCTTAACAATTAACGTTAAGTGAAAGATATTAAATGATTAAATTAAATCAAGGGCGCAGGAAATCTTGTACCCGGTACTCATGTAAGAGAATAAGGGCAAGAAAATCCTACTAACAAATGAAACAAAGTTTCGAAAACAAATGAAACAGTTAAATGCTTCAAAAGTAAAATTGGTAGTCCAAGGATGTAGGCATACCTTGCCAAGTCTCTATAGGACATAAAGCAAGTTTTTCCCACTGAATTTAATATGATACTTACAGAATTAGCGAACTTTTGTGCTCTGAAAAAATAAGCTAATTCCCTACCGTTGTATGTATCATCATCTCTGACTGACGTGTAGGGGTGCGAGGTGTCAACTGGTGACGAGAACTGCTGCTGAGGTCCCAATTCAGCAACTAAAGTTCGAGCTAGAGGAACTATGGCCCTCTTTGTCCTCCTACAGTCAGATTGCAGAAGATTGGGTACTCTTGACCCGGGGCAGACCACAGTACCAGGTACCAATATGATGATCTGTCAGAATGAGAAATATTCAAGGGACATAGATGGTAAATACGAGTAATAACATGGAGGGAGAGATGACCAATTAAGAGTATGACTGAGGCCTACAGTCACCACGTAATCCAAAGTTGTCTCACCTTCACTATATGTTACTCTCGTAATGCACAATACTCCGCACCTTATAAAAATGAAATTGAATGAAAAATAGTAAAGCTACGTTAACAAAGTTAAATACGCTTACCATAAATTACCACTTAGCACCAGTACCTGAGTGAAGCTCCTAGGACAGGCCCCCATATAACTTGTGACGGTAACGCGTTGGTGTTCGGCTGTTTAAGGCTAGGGGTATGGCCTCGTCACATAGTTATAAAAAAAAAATAGAAAAACTGGAACTTCGTCTGTGGTAAGGTAAGGAGAAGACACACAAAACACAAGTAAAACTTTAACAATGAAATTTTAATTACGTTAAATAAATCAAAACATGAAAATATGGATAAACAAATATGTATAATAAAATCAATGAATCAAAATAATAAGAATACTTAAA